AAGATGGATGGTAGTATGCGTGTGCACACAGGTGCCCCAATGCTCATACAGTGTACCAGGATATCCTATTGACATCCCTGCTTAGCATTGATGGCCCTCCCTCAAAACTGTAGTGACCCCCTACTGAGCAAAGCAACTTCCCTGTTGGCATGAGGCCTGGAGAAGTCTTGGAACTAAGTCTACCTCTGCCAGATTGGTCTTGGTTTTTAAAGTACTCGGTCTCTTAAGACCTTGCCTCCCTCTTCCACCTTCCTCAGTGGAAGGTGTAAAGCACAGCCTAAGATCCAATAAGCTTCGGACTTGCAGGGAGGGGCAGGAGCAAGGAGGAGGCACCGGTTGGAAGGCAGCAATTTCCATTTTCCCCTTGGCATCTTTTATTGTGCTTGCTTTTGGGTGTAGTGTTCCCATTTACAGGGGCTTCAACGTTACTAAATGGCAGCACAGAGAATGCTGGGCTCACTCTCGCAAAAATCAATAAATGAATAAATAAATACAGGCAGCAAAGAGGCCTGAAATGATTCTCGTTTGCCGGGAATGAGAGACACCAAGTGTAATTTAGGGTTTGATATTATGAAAGCCTTGCTGCTCTAAAGCAGCAGGATGCTCAGCGGCTCATTAATAAAGGATAAACTTGGAGTCTATTTACAAGGCACTTTTTGGGATTATTTACACTCCATTATACATACGTAATGTTGTACATATTTACCGCTTGGCTTGGTGGTGAACAAAGGGATTTAGGAGAGGGGTTGCTCCTCTGACACCCCACCCCTTCCCCTCTGAGCAAGGTCACACCAGAGGGGACAGCCAGATCTTCAGGGAAGTATAGGCAAGGAAGAAAAGATATTCAGTCTATTTTCTGAACTAATATAGATTGGAAGCAGGCAATCTGGCTTGATGCAAGTCGAGCCAGTGGCATTCTTCAGGTATCTCTCTCTGAAGTGGAACAAACCACTTCTGTTGGAAGACACATTTTCTCTTCTCCCTTTCTCATCAGCATGATTACCTAGGCATGCCAATACTATTGCAAATGCTATGTCTGTGTTACTGAAACGGGTTGGAATTTGGCCTAAAATGATACAAAGCAGTTCTAATGAAGGGCAGTTCTGGTATGATGACACCAAAAACCTGGCCAAAGTTACAAATATGATCCTCGCCCCCATCCATGTCAGATTTTCCTGTGCATCAGTGTCATTCCCAATGCACATTCATAATGTGTATATTATTGATACAGGTGGGAAGAGGTTGGGGATACAGCAATCTTGTGCAATGTTATCCTTTGACTGAGGGAGGAATACATTTTCCTGCTCAGGCCCACCTTGCTTCCAATTTGCCCAGATCTTTAGGACTCAAGAAAATGTGTGCGCGCGAAACATTTGTTCTTCTACTTCTGTACCCGGTCAACACTGGCATACAGACAGGCACACAATTGAATCACTGCTGAGGTGCACCCACGATTGTGAGGTCTGAGGATATGATGATGATACCTGCACAGCTGTTGCCATTGGTTGCAAACTGCTTATGATGTCACAAAAGCACTGAGCATCTGAGTGGATATAAAGGCAGGCCAAGGGGAAAGCCCTTCTCTGTTCTCCAGCAGGACACAACTGTGACATTCAGCAGTGCCCCCTTTTCCCACTTGGAGAAGGAATACTGCAGAATAGGAGGCTAGCAGCAGGATGCTATGGAGAAATAATAAGGCAAGTTTGTTTGCTAGGTGGGATTGCAGCTTTAAGGCTGCTGATTTTCAAGGCCAGAAGCTTGCTGATGTCTAACAGTGGGCCTAACAGAAGCTGGCAAATGTCAGTGGGTAGATGCTGGCGAAGTTCACATTCAGAAGCTGGTGGGTGCTGCAAGGCTGAAGCAGGTTGATATCTGTGAATGTAAGCTGGTTGAAGTTGACCTTCAGGAGCCAGTTAACAGCAGTTGGTGGATATTTGTGGAATAAAGGCTGGACACAAAAGTAAATGAATGAGGGTTGGATGTGTTCACTGGTGTTCTTCATGGATGTTGGCTGGTGTATGTCTGTCTGTCTGTCTGTCTGTCTATATTAATGAATGAATGGGAGCTTTCGAATGTGGTCAAGGTGAAATGGTGTATACATGTGCATGAATGAGATGTGTGAAAGGTGGCTATTCATGAATAGATGAAAGCCCTGGAAGCTGGCAGACTGAAGTTAGCAGATGAAGTCACCAGGCAGAAGCTAGGAGCGGAGGTGCCTGGGTGATGCTGCCAGATGGCAGCTAGTCCACTCATTGTCCGCTTTTCTTCTTGTTGTTACAAAATCCCTTCTACAGGGATGTCTGAAGCCAGTGAGTTTTTCTCAAGACCACTCATGAAAGCAATGGAGAGAACTGCAGGGCTTAAACAAGCCGTCTTATATTTCTAAATACATATACTGGTCATTCTACATTTTCCCTCATGTAATGGGATATCATGCATTTGAGTTGGTATCATTAGACATGAAGGGTGTGCTGGGTGAGAAAGAAATAAGAAATAAACAAATAAATAAGTCACTGTTGGTGTCCTCCTATGATTATCCACGTGGCCCAGGGCAGGGCTTGACTGGCCTCATAAGGACTGCGGCTGCTGCCCAGCAAGAACTGGGGTATTTCGGGGGAGCTTTTGCTGTTGTTACTGCTATTAACTTTTTGTATCTTTATTTTTATGTGGAAATTGTTCAGTTTGGTTATGTAGTTTTTAATGTGTTTATTTTTTGCTATGCTTGTAATTATGTAAATCTTTTCATATCGTAAGCTGCCTTCAGCATTGTTTTAACTGTGGAAAGGCGGCATACAAATAAAATGATGATGATCAGGCCTGGGGTGGGGGGTTCGTAGTGATGCTTCCCCAGTTGTTGCCATTGACAGTGGACTGCCTGGGATGTCACAGAAGAACATGATGGCTGAGCAGGAAAAGGCAGTTAATAGTGGGAGGGAGAATGAGTGAGGAAAAGGAGTCTCAGGAGAAGCTGGGGCTGAGCCAACTATAGACACAGAAGGGAAACTTGGTTTGACTCCTTCCTGCTTGAGTCACCAACCTTCCCCTCCCTCAGGGCTCCTCAGTGAAGCACAGGAGTCAGCATGTGAGCTGCGATAAGCCACAAACACCTGGGTTTGGATGTCACTTCTGCTGTGCTCCCAAGAAAGGCCCCAAAGGGGAGAATTGTTGTTCCCTCAGCTTCCATCTCATGTCCCTGCCACACTACAGCATAAGTCTTCCCTGGCCCTGTATATGAGATCCTTTCAACTGGCAGTGCTGAAGATTAATCCTGGGGCCTTGTGCACAGAATGTAGGACGCTGCCTCTGACCCAGTCAGGCCCCTGGTTCATTGACATGGGTGCCATGGCACCCACAAAGGCCCATCAAGTTCCCAGTCATGTTCTCCATCTTCCTGGCACACTAGACGGAATTCAGAGTCTCGAGGTGAGGAATCTGTCCCCGTCTCTCCTTCCTACTTGTCAACATCTCCTGAGGATTCCCCATTCTGTGCTGACCGTAGGAGAAAATCTGCCAGAATTCTGAATAGATTCTGGGGCTGGACACCAAGGTGAGGAAGAGGGAGAGGGAGAGAGCGCTGGGAGGGAACTGTAGTTTGATGCTTAGAGTTGTTAGGACACCCTATTCCCCTCAGAGACTTAGAATTCCCAGTTCCCTGTGAAGATGGATGGATGGATGGATTGATTGATTGATAAAGCCGGAACTCACTGGAATTCAGTTCTGGAATCTCTCAGGTGGGCGCCATTATGAGAGAACAAGGGAAGAAATCATGGTGAGTTCTGGCACCTCTTTTTCTAGAAAAATAGCACTGGAAATTGTAGGAGGTGGGCAAATAGGGGTCTCCTAAAAACTGTCAGCACCCTTAACAAACTACTGTCCCCTGGATTTTTTGAGGGAAGCCATGACTGTTAAAGAAGTATGATCGTGTTTTAAATGCATGGTGCAGAGGTAGGCTAATAAAGTTAGGATTGCAGCTTCAGGCAGCTCAGTTTTACTGAAAGCATCCACTTGAGATTACTGACCAACAGGGACATCTAGTGGTCATTCATTGTAAAACTTTCCATTCTCTGTGTGTACAAATTATTTATTTATTGTGTAAAAAAACACACCCAACCCCCCCCCCCATCTTCCAGAGAATGCAAAATGTCACATCTGGCCCGCCTTCCGTTTTATCATCACACCAACCCTAGGAAGCAGATTTATATGAGGGAGCTACTGGCCCAAGGTCACCCAGCAGAACTTTGGGATTTGAACCTCCAATCTCCAACCATTACACCACCCTGTCTCTCGCTTAATGATAACATGAGGGTTGGTGTAAACCTAAGTTCGGTTGGCCTCCATGAGGGACTGAGCCCTGTGGAACGCCTTACCGGCAAACTCCAACTGGAATCGTCCCTGCCATCTTTCAGGTGTCTCCTGAAAACTGCACTGTTCAGACAGGCCTTCATGACAGGATTCCCCCCCCCCTTTAAATGAACCAGTATGTACTGATGTTTTTAATTATGCTTCACTTATATTTATAGGTTGATTTTACTGTATTTTACTGTAAGCCACCTTGTTATATTTTATGAAGGAGTGGATTACAAATTTTCTAATAAAATAATAACTACAACTCTGGAAAGAGTTCATCTGGGTGAACTAGATGCTAAATGAAGTACATGTAACAATTCTACCTCTGGCTCCCACAAAAAACCTGTTCTGGTAACAGGTGATATAAAGCAGAGAACCAGCAAGGGGAGGGTGTGCTTAACCCTTTCCCCATCCACCACCCTAATTTAATTTTTTAATAGGATTCCCTTCCATTCTTCCTTCATGGAACTCAAGGCAGCCTACATATGGTTCTCGGGTGATTCCATTAAAGCATTGACAGGGGCCAGCTTAGAATAGAGAAGAAATTCAATTTTGCTTGCATTTTAATGAAAAACTGCCTAATCTGTCAGCCATCTTGAACCAATTAATGAACCAAAACACAGCTATCCTTCAAAATTCACACTTCTCAGAACACAAACCCAAAACATTCCTCTTTATTTTCAATCTCTAGGGCTGGGTTGGAGGGAAGCAACTTGGAAAACACGACTTAGAAGAATTGTACAACAAATCAGAATGAATCCTCAATAACCAGGTGTTCTGGAAATAACCTCAGGTTCTGTGGGGTGATGAGGGAACCTGTGGCCCTCCTGATGTTGTTGGACTCCAATTCCCATCAGTCCAATCTAGCATGGCCAAAGGTCAGGGGTGACAGAAGTTGTAGTCCAGCAACATCTAGAGCGCCACAGATTCTTCATCTCTGGTGTAGGCCATACGGAGCTTGAAGGGTTACAAGTTCCCTATCCCTGGAATAGTTTTCTTATGAATGAATCAGTGTTGAGTGGAATGTCCCAGCAATGTATTGCTCTTGCTCCGTTAGAGAGTAAATCGGTGACTGGATGGGCATTTGACTTCTGTCTTTGCCTTTTGGGACATAGTGGCATGTGGAATGTATATGTGCTCTTACAGATATGCAGGTAGATACTGAGTTTGTCTTTTGGTGTGGTTCAGACATTGCTGTTTAGTTGCAGCACTGCTGGGAAGACTTGTTATTGGTGATCTCTCAATAGGATTTCCAGTCATGTGTTGGCATGACTACCAGAAAAATCGGGAAACAGGTGAGGAGATCTCCAAAAAATCCTCAAAATGCCTTAAAGGAAAGAGGATGAGTCCCATTCAAGACTTTCTGAAAAAACTGTGTTTATAAACCAAGTTCCCGAGGATAGCTATCCCTCAATGCTACTAATTTCCAGCCCTCAGAAGAAGACAGTGAAGGAGGAAGAAAGGATTTGGGACAGAAGTGCACCCAAAATACCTGGGGGCAGAGTCAGACTTCTTAGGTTTAAATTAGATGCTTCTCCCCAAAGTCTTCCCCCCGGTCCCTTTTGTACTGCTGGTCCAGGCAAGATGAAAGAAGTTACAGGATGAGAATCAGTATTATTGTCTCCCTTTGCCATTTCACTGAGGTGGCTTCCCCACATTGGAGAAATTGGGAATCCCCAAAACACTGAATGGGAGATCATCATGGAGGGTTGGATCCTGAGCCAGAGAGTTCCAGGGAGCTCGTCTCCAGGGCACCATAACCATTGAACTTGATCATCTTGACAGAATCTGGCAAGCTGGAGAGGAAGGAGGGGCGAGAGGCAAACATGTGGCTGATTTCCATAAACGTCTTGTTTTTGGTCTCGGGGATGATGAAATAGACATACAGTGCCACCAAAAGACAGACGCCACAAAAGACCAGGTAGCAGAAGGCACCAGCAGACATCTGGGAATGGAAACAAAGAGGAGTCCAGATAAGCAGAGGGACACGAACAGGCTCTACCCAGTCCTCATCCATTTGGTTGGTTCGGTGCACTAAGAAGCAGCCTCCAGCATTTTGAGTGTTTAGGGCACCCTCTCTGTTAGCAAACCCCAGCATCTCCCATTCCTCACCATCACAGGTTCTCTTCTTACCTATTAAGGCCTCTTAGGAATGTAGAAAGACGCCTTACATGAAGTCAGGCAATTGGTCTGTCTAGCTCAGTATTGTTTACACCCAGGGTTGGAGAACCTTTTTTAGCATAGCCACATGGAAGGTGTTGGGTGTGAAGAGGCAAAAGTGAGTTGAGCAACAAATATAAATATTGCCAAATGGAAGGTGTTGGGTGTGAAGAGGCAAAAGTGAGTGAAGCAACAAATATAAATATTGCCACTGTACAGTAGGCTAGTTTCTGAACATATACATCTCTCTCTATCCATCCAGGCAACAAAAGGCAAGGTCAGGGTATAAGCAAAAACACTCCAAGAGGGTGTGAAGCAGAGTTTGTGAGAGGCAGGGCATGGAAAGAAGGGGTGTGGCTGGGGATCAGGTGTGGTGTGGGAAGAGTTCTGAGGGCCGCATTTGGGCCCTGGGACTAAGGTTCCTCACTCCGGTCTACGACTGGCAGCAGCTCTTCAGGGTTTCGGGCAGGGTTTTCCCTGAGTTCTACTTGGAGATGCTGCAGAATAAACCTGTGACCTTCTGCAACCAAATCTGTGGCTCTACCACTGTGCTATTGCTCTTCCCCTTCCTCTTAATGTGTTTCCTTCTGGCCCCGAGGGGGGTTTAATAATGTAGATTAGGGTGGTCCAATGCACGGCTCTTGAGGCCTTTTTTGGTGGCCCTTGGCAACATTTGATGCTCTCCCCCAGCCCTTTCCATGCCTTCTCAAAGCTGGTTAAGTGAGGTGCTGGGCTTTGGGAAGGAGGTAGAAGGGCTCTAGGACCTGGCCAGAGCCTTGCACCTTATTGCCAAGCCCGGCGCCTCGCTTAGCTGGCTTTGGGAAGGCATCACGAGGGGGGGGAGGGGTTTTGGCCTCACTCCCCTCCCCCCATGCAACAAGGCAGTGTGTGGCCTGTGAGTCCCATGTCAAACCACTATTGCAGCCCCCTTGCTATAAAAAGTTGGACTGCCCTGATCTAGATTACACAGTCCTAAAATTTAGTACCAGAAGACACTTAATTCCGTGACTGAAGTGAATTAACATAGTTACATACACACATCTTCACCATATACGACTGGTATGTCAAGAAGTGCTAGATTACTTTTCTGACCCTTCAACAGGAAACCTTCACTTTGGCTTTCCAGTGCTGTTTACATAAGAGAAGGCCTGGTACTTTCGGAATGTAATGATTTCATGTCTTGGGGCAGGGAATGGTGTTTACAAAGCAATGGAATTGGTTTGCCATTTGGCGCATCCACATGATCTGATTAGGGAATAACTTGTCAAGACCAGATGGCTTTGTTGCTGGTTCTCTCTCTCTCTCCATGTAATGTGACGAAGATCACAACTGGTCTTGTGTTTCTTTAGAGCAGAGGGTAGACAATGTGGTGGCCTTCCAGATGTTGCTAGACTACCGTTCCCACCATCTTGCTGGCCATACTGGCTGTGGAGGGGAGTTCGACAACATCTGGAATATAGGAAGCAGCCTTTCACTGAGTCCGGCCATTGATTCATCCAGCTCAGAACCATTTACACTGATTAGCAGAGGCTCTCTGGAGTCTCAAGTCAGAGCCACTCCCAGCAGGGCCAGTCTGAGACATTTTGCCGCTGTAGGCAAAACGCTCCACTCCCTCTTCCACAGATCCAGGTCCCCACCCCTCCCTGCTGCCAGCTCATCACAGCAACAGCACCCTCACCTGCATTTGCACCCATGCTGCGGCCAGAACGCAGCAGCAGCAGCAGCAAATGGGGGAATGACAAGGGGGTAGTGGCAGCAGTGAGGACAATGGGGCTGGCAGCAGTGCAATGGGAGGGTGGAGAGGGCAAGGGGGTCGGATCTGCTATTTGAAGCAAATGGCTTCACCTTGTCTAATGTGTGGGCAGTCCCTGACTCTCAGCTCTACCTGAGACAGATCCTGTGACCTACTGCATGCAAGGCACTACCCTTCCCTGGAGGACCACCCCTGCTTTATGCAATATATAATAAAAGTTCAGAAAGATACCCCTCTCTTAGTTTCCTTTGGTACTAATTTTGTTGCTACCATGGGGGCATCACCAGCTTTGCTATGGCAGTCTCCTATTTGGTGCCTTCCAGGTGTTTTGAGCTACAGTTCCTGTCAGCCTCAGCCAGCATGGACCACAATTATGGGAGAGCTTCAGTCCAAAACATCTGAAGGGCATGAGGTTGGGAAGGCTGGTTTACTGTAACGTGTTTTCTGCCACTCAGAATGCTGGAGCATGACCCCATCGCCACTACCGAGAAAGAACTAAGCTATGCAGTACCTATGGAGCTCTTTCCCCATTTCTAATAGAAAGTTCTAGGTCACACAGAAATACAGCATGCGGTTCTCCTCTGTGCTGTGTCCTGCAACTACTGCTAGAAGGAACCTGCCATGAGAACCACTAGGTCAGGCATAGGCAAACTCCGACCCTCCAAATGTTTGGGACTACAATTCCCATCATCCCTGACCACTGGTCCTGTTGGCTAGGGATGATGGGAATTGTAGCCCCAGACAGCTGGAGGGCTGGAGTTTGCCTATGCCTACACTAGGCATTCTACTCTCTTGCCTTGCTAGTCAGGGGACCCTGTAGCCTACCAGCCGCTCAAAGGGGCCCAGTATTACCTGCAGGAAGGGAAACACAAAGCCAACGGTGAAGTTGGAGAGCCAGTTGAGGGACCCACCCACAATGTAGGCCGATGGCCGGTGCGATTGCTTGAAGAGTTCAGCTGTCATCAGAAATGGAACCCCAGCTGTATGGGAAAGACGACACTCAGGCTAGGCTTTTAATCCGAGCCCCTGTTAGTGGGGCCAGACTGTCAAAGCCGGAGTCTGCAAATAACCCTTGCAGGGGTGAATCTATTTCAAACCATCAGGTTCCCCAAAGATGTTTATTATTATTATTTATTAAATTTGTATACCACCCTATACCCACAGGGCAGCTACAACATAAAATCACAAAACACATAATAAAAATAAAAACAACCCAGCATTAAATCTTAATTATTAAGATTGACATTAAATAATGTTGCACAAGACAGGGCATTTATTTTGCTCACTGCTGCCCTCTGCAGTGACAAATTGGAAGACCACCTGCACAGACAACCACTTAAATTTAATCTGTTTTAGCATTTTAACTTTTGCATGTTTTAAAGCATGGTTGTGGATTTTCATCTAACATTTTTATCTTTTTATAAACATCTGTGAGTTAGTTTTTGTTTTTTTACAACCAAGCGGTGTATGGATTGAAAGAAAAAAGAAAGAGAGAGAGAGAGAGAGAGAGAGAGAGAGAGAGAGAGAGAGAGAGAAAGTAAGTAAGTTAGAATTGTGCCACATTTTTGGCCCCAGAACAGGGCAAAACACATACTATAAAGGATGCAAAAGCCATTAATCAAACTCCCTGTCTTCTACTTTTTGCACTTCTTTTCACTCAATCCATTGCTTCTTTGTCACTCCCTTTAAAAAACCCCCAAGAGATCTCAGACAATCACGGGTGATGCAGTAAAAGTGATGATGTTGTGGAGCCAATCAGATTTGGCTACATGGCAAAAACAGTGAGGAGGCCCTGCTAAGCTGCATTGCTCTAATCTGGCTCTATCTAGGCTGCCAGAAGTCACATGGAAATGTTTGAGTGCACATCCGACTGAGATCGGTTGAATAGGTGACACCCACACCTGAATGTGCACTTGGATGCATACCAGGATGCACATCTGAGTGAAGATGTGGCCTGTCTGCACTACGTTGCTCTCAGTAGGTTGTGAGCATGAATGCCCATTCCAACACATGTTCTGGTGCATCCAGAGCTGGAAGAGGGCTTCTGAGTGAGGGCAAAGCAGCGTAACTGCAGCAAAGCAGCATTGTCAGCCTAGTTTCCTAGGCAACAGAGTTGTGGTTCCTCTCCCCCCACAACCCATAAACACTTCCGCATGCTTTTGAGTACCCCCTCTAATTACTGTAAGTGAAGGACTGCTTATCAAGGGGCATAAAGACATTCACAAAACTGCTCTCTGGCTCAGCGTAGCCCTATACACTTGCATATATATGGTGATGCTGATGACAGACACTTCTTTAACAGAAGGAGCCAAGACCTTGTGCTCCTGCAACAGAAAGGTTTCAGATCTATCTGCCCTAGTGCATCAAGATCTGCCCTCTTTACATGGTGGTAATTTAGGCAGCATCACTTTCTTTCAGGAACACAAGGAACTGCTTCTTGAAATAATAATAATAATAATAATAATAATAATAATAATAATAATAATAATTGTTGTTGTTGTTGTTGTTGTTAAAAATAACCACCAGCCTTAATAATACTGGGGGGAAATCCATCCAGGGGTTGTTAAGAAAAACCCCTGATTGAGCATTGCTCACAGATCACCCAGAGTGGGAAGAGAGATATTTTTATTTTAAAAGTCAGATTCATCATTGTTTGTGAACAATGAGCCATTAAAATCCTAATTAAAGATGTAATTACAGCGAATAAATTCTGGGCCGACAATGAGTTATGGATCTGTTGGCGGCTATACTAATACATCAATTGGGTAAACCAGCAGCCGCCTCGTCCATCATATTTAGAGAGCTCTGCTTTGGCCCTTTTGTTAGCAGAAATCGCAGGAGTTGCCTCTGAAATCCAAAGCAAGACACTGTTAGGCAATTCATGCCGCACCAGTTTTAGGGCATGGCAGGTGGTGACAGATTCAGATTCCCACCAGTGGCCTGCTGACCGTGGTCCTTTGGGTACTCAAAATGCCAGAACCAAGCCAGGGTATGCCTCCACATGCTGGGAATCAGAAGTGGGGGAGAATGCTGTGGTCCTAGCCCTCAGGTCCTGCTTGCGGGCTCCCCAGAGACATCTGCTTGAGAATAGAATGCTGTGAGAATAGGGTGTTGGGCTATATGGGCCATTGGCCTGATCCAGCAGATGTCTCTCCTTACGTTCTTAAGTCTATATTCTCATATTATTGGTCAAGAGCAGTGTAGAATTGTTATCAAACAAACAAATAAATGTCCCCAGCACTTAGGACAATTCAGATAGTGGGGTAGGAGAGATTTTAAAAATCACATCTGGCAACCAATATGCCCCTTTGGATAGTACCCAGGTAAAGGGACCCCGACCTCTAAGTCCAGTCGCAGATGACTCTGGGGTTGCTGTGCTCATGTCACTTTACTGGCCGAGGGAGCCAGTGTTTGTCTGCAGACAGCTTCCGGGTCATGTGGCCAGCATGACTAAGCCACTTCTGGCGAACCACAGCAGTGCATAGAAAAGCCGTTTACCTTCCTGCCACAGCGGTACCTATTTAATCTACTTGCACTTTGATGTGCTTTCGAACTGCTAGGTTGGTAGGAGCTGGGACCGAGTAACGGGAGCTCACCCTGTCGCGGGGATTCGAACCGCCGACCTTCTGATCGGCAACCCCTAGGCTCTGTGGTTGAGACCACAGTGCCACCCTCATCCCACTAGTGCCCAGGTAGACAAGTCTAAAAAGCCCAGGTCACAAGTTTTCACGGCCCTCTAGCAGTTATGGTGGCTCATTTTCCAGAAGTCATGTATTTAGCATAAACGCTGTATACTCACTTCTGACCAAACCAAGCCTCCTAGAGCAAAATATACATCAGAGTTAACGCTAAATACATTACTTCTGGTAAATGAGCCACCATAGCTGCTAGAGGGCCATGAAAATTTGTGTCCTCATGCATTTCAGACTCTCCTTCCCATGTACTATCTCAAACCAAAAGGGCACATTGGTTGCCAGATCAGATGTGAAATATATTGGCATTATTTTCAGCTCTCCTACCCCACTAAGAAGACTCATTGCACCACTCATTGCATCTCCTGTAAGACACAGAATAACCTGAATCCTATCAGCAAACTTCTTACATCCATTCCCTCACAGTCCTGTTCTTGGGGGCCACAAGATCAGACCAGGTTTCCTGTAATCTCAGCCTCTCCACAGCTTTGCTGGTGCCCAGGGATCTTGAAGAGGAGCTTTGTTGCTCTGTTATTTCTTTGGATGCCTTTGTCTGGCACCGGAAACGTACCTGGTCCCATGCAGAATCCTGCAATGATGCCAATGACACATGCCACACTGACGTAACGCATCCAGGACACAGTTGCCTGTGGGAAGTACAGTAGGTTATTGAGAGAGTTTACATCAATGCAGCTAGGCCCCTTTGGCTCATTCAGCTCTAAGGTTCCACCACTACTTCCAGGTCTGCATCCTATAGCTCCATTGACCACGCTCAGTCCCAGTCTGCAGACTGCTAGCTGTGCCAATCCTGTGACCCTTGCTTGAGTAGACACCTCCATTCCAAGCAGCTGAGACACAACACCCTGCTGTCATAGCTCCAAGCTTAGCTGTTTGCTTCCTAACTTAGCTGGTGTCCCCCACCTAGCTTGACCAATATTCCAGAGATGGTAGTTCTCTTCCATCTCCTGATTCTCAAATAAACCTGCCCCCCTCATTCTGCCCCCTTGCACTTGCACTCATCCCTGTTACTGTGTGAGGTCACACCTGTTCTTACACCAATTTCATGAACTAGCACCAAGCCTTACTTATCTTTACACTTTAGCATTTAGGTGTGAAAAGGGAAACTAGTGGTATAGATATAGCAGGATAGAGTTTCTGAGGATCCACCAGCACTTCTGATCCCACTGTGCAAACTGAAGCACAAAATCTAATATGCGATTGGGGGGTGGGGGTGGGATGGACTGCAGAGATGTCAGCCAACCATGGGTGTATAAGTGTCTATGGGGCTGTTCCTACCTGCAGAATCAGAGACAAGGTGATGCCTGCGCAGCAGATGCCCATGAAACAGAACCCAACTATGATGAGAGGGCGACGTCCCAGCTTCTCAATGGTGAAGCACTGTCAAAGAGAAAGGGGGAAATCGAGGAGACAGGTTGCTGGCTAGTTGTATTAGGGTTTTGCATGTGTCTCTGTTTGTTCTGAGTCTGTTCTGAATTTGTGACCCTCCAGGCAGGGCTGGATCTACCATTAGGCAGAATGATGCAGCCTTGGTCTTTTCTTCAGTTGAAGGACAGAGTTATGAGTGCCTCACAGTCTGTACCTGCCTTTCTTGGAGGCAAGGGAAGACACTGCCTCATTGTTGGTGTTGAAGTAAGATTCAGTTGCTGGTCCAGTTGGCTTCTGAATGTGGAAAGGGAGAGGAAAACATTTTATACCTTGCCTCAGGCAGCAAAGTATCTTGAGCCAGCACTGCCTGCAGATGTTGTTGGACTACAACCCCTATCATCCCTGACTATTGACCATGCTGTATGGGGCGGATGAGAGGTAGAGTCCAATAATGTCTGGAGGGCCAGAGGTTTCCATCCCTGGTCTCTGTGATTCCCCCAAATATATACACAAAGTATACAGACAAGCTTATTGCATAGACGCCAACAGTACTGCATGGAGTAACATCATCCTTAGCTACGTAGACAGTGCATGGATGCAGAACCATCTTGTCCCATTGCTTATACCAGTGGTGGCCAAACTTGGCCCTCCAACTGTTTTGAGACTATAATTCCCATCATCCCCAACCACTGGTCCCATTAGCTAGGTATGATGGGAGTTGTAGTCCAAAAACAGCTGGAGGGCCAAGTTTGGCCATCACTGGCCTATACAATGGGGCTGGAATGCCAACCGTTAGAAATTCTGGGTTTGGTTCCAGAGCTAGGGGATGTCGGAATCTCCACTCGGCCAAGCTGATAAAGCCTCAGCTTCCGGCCGAGTCTCCAGAATCGCCTCCGACGAATAATTAACGACCTCGAGCCTTTGATGAGGCTCCAAGGCACATTCTATTCAGCAGAGTTCCCAGCACACGGAAGAGACGAGAGGTTTGGGCTACATTGTAAAGAGTTTTATTTCTAAGCTACGCAGTCAGAAAAGACATCCTCTCTCTATGAAAGCAGAGAGCAACTGAAACAATGGAACAAAGGAAACAGGAAACCACTAACATCACATCCCGTCTCCCCTCCCGTGAGACTGGAAGGTCTCTGGAATGTAAACAGAGTCCTGTGATTCCAAGCAGCTGCTCAGTGGCAAAACAGAAACTAACAGGGGAGAGTGGGATCCAATATGGGATCCAGTATGCCCTAGTCAAATGCAGGGCATACGTTTGTGCCCCAGTGCAACATCTTGCCCCTGCCCCACAAACATTTGTTCCCTGCAGGTGCGTGAGAAGGAAGCCCTACCTGTGAGTGCATGCTCAAGAGTAGGGGCTCCTTGTTTTTAGGGCACCTGGTTGTGCAGGTGTCCCAATGGCATAGCTTGTATACTGGGCTTCTACACACATGTGGTGGTGGTGATGGGGATCTGACCTTTAGAGCAATAGATCTGACACTGGTGGAACATCCACTTTGCATGCAGAAGGTCCCATGTTCACTCTCCAGCATCTCCAGATAGAGCAGGGAATGTCACCCTGTCTGATGTTCTGCCCATAGAGAACTGCTGCCCATAGACAGTGGCTAAGCAAGATGAACCAATAGCCTGACTATGTGACATCTTCCTTATGCTTGGCATTGTCTCCTGCATTCTATCTTCCAAGATCAAATAGTTTAGGTCAGAGGCAGCCAACATAGTACCCTCCAGATGTTCTTGGACTCCCAACTCCCATTAGCCAGGGCCAGCATGGCAAAAGGTCAGGAATGATGAGATTTGTAGTCCAACAACAACAACAACAACAACATCTTCTTCTTCTTCTTCTTCTTCTTCTTCTTCTTCTTCTTCTTCTTCTTTCTATACCACTTTATATTTTTAAGGGGGGGGGGAACAAAGCGTTTTACAACGTGCAATAAAACATCAAATAAAACAATCCAGAATTAACATTACTGAAGAAATTCAAACATAAAGTATATGTTCAGAGTAACATAATTAACAGGAAACTAAACATTATCTTAAAGATTTCAAAATAAAACATTACAAAGGAGGTCAACATATGGAAGGCACAACATTAGCTTGGAAATGCACCGTCCTGGTTTTATTCCTAGCTTTGGGAAGGGCTTCTCATCCAATGTATTATGGGGCAGCTGCCATTGAAAAGCAGAACCATTAAGTTCATCCCTAAGAGAAGAAGTGAGGTTGTTTTCATTAAAGCTGATGGAAAGGGGGCTCAGGAACAAACTTTTGTGGATGTACCCCTAGCTCTGCTCCAGCTATCGGAGCAGTTTGTGCACTGGTTGTGGAAGGAAGGAGGGTATCCTGGGAGCCAGAAGCCTATGGTTGTGATGGTGTGTGTGTGTGTGTGTGTGTGTGTGTAGAAGCTGCCAGAAGGAAGCCAAAGCAGGAAAGCTGCTGACAGCAGAACAAATGCCTGTAATTTTATAACCAACCTCAGTGCATCCATTGGGGGCCGTTTTTGTCGGCACTCAGGAGCAATCAGGCTGATGGAGCGATGAGCTTGCCGGAGTTAGGCGTTGCTGATGGGCAGCAAAGGCGGTTGGTGGGCGGGAGAGCTATGTGCCTGCATAATAGAGAGAGGCACAGGTCCGACATGGGCAGCCCTGGGTGATATCCAGCTGGAAATCTGCCCCAGCTAGGCTGAAATTTGGAGTCAAAGGGACGGTGACAGCTGGAGTGAGCACCCTTGTTGCAATAAGACAGCTACAAGATGCATTAGGTATGGGATCGTCCTGCCATTTATACCTCTCGTCTAACAAGCAAGCCAACAAACCAAAATGCCATACTGGATGTGTCCTGCAAATCTGTTGTTTATGTAACTATGCTTGCACCCCTCAGAAGCCTTTGCTCTACCTGTCTGCTGTATGCAAACATATGAGCTATTAGCAATAATCAGAAGGGTCCTTTTGACTCATCTCCCAAGGCAAATCATCAGCGTTACAAATGCCTGTCTGTTGCGGGAAGCAAGCAATCTGATTAATAAATGACTTCTGTCCTCCTACAATACTGCGAGTCCCTCTCCACAGACAGGAGGTGCCATTGATTATCCTCCTCTGTGGTAAGATGTCTGGGGGTGACGAGAGAAGGGGCTGTGACTAAGTCTGCATAATGATTCAACCCTTGAGTTTGAGAGACCATGCTGAGTGAGGCTGGTTCTGTGATCCCTCTGGCCTCCCAAGCCGCAAGGCAAAACGCTCCACTCTTCTGTGTGCTGGCTGCTCTTTGATCACAGAGAATCTAGCAGTGCCTTGACTACTCAGAAGTAAGTCCCACTCTATGTGGGACTAGATGAGCCTTTAGCCAAACTCTTCTAGCCCAGCAGTTCTCAACCTGTGGGTCCCCAGATGTTGTTGGACTACAACTCCCATCATCCCTGAGCTCTGGCCTTGCTAGCTAGGGATGATGGGAGTTGTAGTTCAACAACATCTGGGGACCCACAGGTTGAGAAAGGCTGCTTTAGCCTGACCCAGCAGGGCTCTTATGTTCTTATGACTACAACGCTCATCATCCCTTATTATCTGGGGCTGATGGGATGTGGAGTGCAACATCTGGAGGTACCACACTGGCTGCCTCCATGTATAGGATTGCAGCCTATGGCCCAGTTCCCACATTGCCCACTTGAGGAAGAAAGGCATGGAACACAGTTCCCCTTTACCTATAAGTAGACTTGCTGCATGGTCCTCACACTCTACCTCCAGTGGAGAATGAGAGGCAGCTGGAGAGACCTTCCAAGCTGTTGCTTTTCCTTCTGCCTGTGCCTTGACTGATGCTCTGTTAAGGAGAGCACTGCCACCACTCAGCAGGAAAGGCCCAGAAGAAACATAGCTAGGACAGGAAGGAAAGTACTGCTAGCTTAGGCTGCATACACACTGTACATTTAAAGCACATTTCCTGAGAATGGTAGTTTGTTAAGAGTTATGGGAATTGTAGTTCTGTGGGGGTAAACTACAATTCCCAGGAGACCCAGGGGGTGCTTTAGACGTATGGTGTGTATCCAGCCTCATAAAGCAGTATCTGGTGAGTGATGAGAGAAAGGAGCAGTTCTCTTCTGGTGGCTATGTTTGGCAACACGAGGAGAGCAGAGAATGAATGCAAGAAAAGGCTCTTTGCTAGGACCAGGCAGTGACAAGCAACCTCACAGGTTCTCTTCTCCAAGAGCCCAGCTGTGAACAATGTCCTTCCAGTTGAAAATGGGTAGAGAGCATCCTGAAGGAACCAAGAGTGTGCCCTCCACACTGGAAAGAAGTTAGGAAATTATTGCCCTGTCTCATTAAGAAAAGTACATACAAATCTATTCTCTCAGTGCAAAAGGAAAGCAGAAGGATGATGCCCTCTTAAAGGACAAGCCAAACTCAAACTAGAGATTTCCACACTTACGCCTATCAAGCCAGCAACGACCTCAATCGCGCCCGTGCCAACCGTAGTGTAGGGGATCTCTGGGTCAGGGATGCCGGCATTCTCAAAGATGACATTTGTGTAAAACCAGATCTGTCAATGAAGAGGAGAAATCATAAGCAGAGGGGGTAGGTGTGGCTTAGAAGAGTAAGAAGGACAATGGCATACCTCGTGAGGCTGCAAGGAAATAAATGGAATGGCTATGCAGGGAACTGCTGCAGAGTTGCGTGTGTTAGGACCCGCAGACCATTTATGCCTATCCTCTCCATTCATGCCAGTGGGACTTAGCAAAGACAGTTGAGGGTCTGAGTTCAAATCAAAATTAGCTGGAGGCATGCCACTTTTCTTTGTTCTGTAGCACACTTGTAAAATAAGAAAAATCACCTTTTTTGGGCTGCTTATGGCAACCATTTGTATGCTGGTACTAACAGCACTTTTATTAAGATATGAGTGCCTCATTTTTAATCGCCCAACCCCTCCCTCCCGGGATTAATTATGCTCTACCATGAATTATACTAAATCATTTTAATGCATGATGTAAAACATGAGTGGGGAGCCTTTTTTTGCTATGGGCTGTATTTGCTTGGGAGTAATCTGTTAAGGACTGCATATCAGTGGTAGGCAGGGCTAGAGTGAAAAGTACATGTGGAACCCTTCTCCCTCCCTCCTTTTGCAAGCAGAGTGGGTGTCAGTAAGGCTCTTTTCAAGGTGCACAAAGCCTGGAATCAGCTTACAAAACGCTAAAAGGCTTGGGACCAAAGTATTCAAGAATGTCAACCATCTCAGCCTGTTGGCAGTGCTGGGCGCTGCCTGTGGCAGGGTCTCCATGGTGGTAGTTCCCCACTATTAACATTCTAGTGGAATTTTAAAACATTCCTGTTCCTCCAGGCATTTGATGGCTGAAAAGCACTGTTTCCTGCAAATTTGGCATTACTAGCTGTGAGGGGATATGACTGTTTTACAAGGTTTTAGAGATTTATTTATTTATGCATTGTTTTTCTGTTTTGCAATTTGCCTCCATTTTGGGAGGAAAGGCGGTACGGAAATTTAAATAAATACTCATGATTTGGGAGGAGCAACTTAAGTCTTGACTTTTGGCACCTCGCTCAGAGTTCTTTGGCTCCAAGCAGGGAAGGTGCTGCAGATACATGGGGGAAATACACCCAGAGGTTTAAACGGGGGAAGAGAGCAGCGAGGTTGGAATACTGTTGTGCTTGAATGAAGATGCAGGAGGCCCAGCCCAGCGGCCTTGTGGCAGGTGTGATCGACCCTGCAGCCCTTACCGCATCAATCCCTGAGAGCTGCATGCCCATGTTGATCACCACGACGGAGAGAACTTGCCATCGCACAGAGGGATCCAAGAGCAGGTGCCACACAGACACCGTCTCCACAGAAGCCAGCGAGCGCTTCTCCTCCTGCATCTCTTCGATTACGTCCTGCACGTCGTACTTGCCCAGGAACCAACGCAGCGCTGTAGGGTTAAGACAACGTGGGTGAGAAGAGTATCCAGGACAGGGATGGCCAGCTGGAGGCCTGTAGGCTGTGGGTAGCCCTGCCATGCAATGGCAAACTTTTGTGGCCTCTCATGGCCACCCCCAAAATATTTCCAAGCGGTAAGGAATGAAGATCCTTGCACTTCCCTTACCATCAGTAGCTCCAAGGACGTTATTCTTCTCAATAAGAAGGTAACGGGGGCTTTCTGGAAACCAGTGCAGGAGGATCAGCTGCAGGAAGGCAGGAACCACCACCAGCGAGAGGAAGAGAGGCCAGTAGGGATCCTAGGAGAGAGAGAGCCCCCCCCCGCCATGATGAGAGGGGTTTTTGCAGCTTCTTTCTGGCAAAGAGGATACTTTATGCAGGTTGTGAAACACAAAGGACTTGATAGATTAACAGCTCCTTTTCTGCAGCCCTTTCTCCATCTTTCTCCCCACAGAGTTATATAGGAAAGCCTAGTCCTGAAGGGTATAGCTAGGGTTGCCATATTTCAAACTTTTGGCCAAAGTTGTTGAGCTTTTTTTTGCTGTTGTTGAGCTATTTTTATGGGAAATTGGCAAATAACACTGCCGACATGGACTGCCATATGTCCGGATTTTCCCACACATTTTCACAATTTCCGTCCGGCTGCTGATAAATATGTCTAGGAAATTTCAAATGTGTAGCAAACCTAGGTGTTGCATTATTTTGGGTGTGGTGGGTGCGTAGAAAAAAACAAGAATGACCTGAGCAAGATAGTCCCCTCCTCCACCACATCTGTCTTCCCACACTTTCTCCAACATAATCCCTAATGCCTCCTCTTTTCTCTATGGCAGAGACTTTTTCTCCTGGCCCGATTTCTTATAACATTGTTATGGTCTTGCTATCTGATTTCTGCTGTGGGGATTAGCATTTGTGAATGTTAAAGGAGGCAGAATGAGTTCTTAAGGTTCCTTAATGGCCAAGAGGCCAAGCATACCAGCAGGCACATCTTCTGTTAGGGAAATTAGAGCTAAAATGGCTGGGAATGGCTAGGAAATAACTGGAGACACCTCTGGAAGGGGAAGCCCTCCATCTATGCCCCATGTTCACCTCCATCTATGGTCAACTTGAATATTTGTAAATCAATATAGCAGAAACATATTAACTCGCCATCCACCTCTTCTTCCCAAAGAGAATAAAAGATGGATAAGTCATTCTCCTAGAACTTCTCACCACTTGAAGAAGTTGGAAGCACATTTAAAAAAACCATGTTTGGATTCAAGATGGCAAAAGCCCCTCTGCCTTTTCTAAACTAGTAGGAGAAATGGGGGCAGTGGAATGAAATGCAGCTTTGTTGCTTTTTTTGACAGCAGGGGTAATGGTGTCATCTGCTAGAGTGGTATTTAGCAACAGTGTGAGCTTGAGGATTGGAGGACAAGTCTGTTAGGTAGGCTAGACTCAGACAGTGATTTGCCTTAGGTGATTCAGTGAACTCAATGTCTGTAATTTCACGTCTCCCCATCCAAAGTCCAACATGTTCATTACTACACCACCTTTTGCTAGCACACTCTTCTAGGACTCTCAGTTGCTCCCAGTGGTGGCCTTCCCCTCCTGTCATCAGTTTACATTCTGACAGCAACGAAGCTAGCAGGCCTGGGCATTCTATGCAGAGAGTGGCAGGCCTGAGCATTTACCTCTCCCAGCAGCTCTGGAAGGCCCAGGACTTGGGCAGAGAAGACCCCCAGACAGATGAAAATGCTTGGTACAAGGCCCAAGAATCCACGCAGGTTCTTAGGGGCAATTTCTCCCAGGTACATGGGCACCACACTGAGACAGATCCCTGGTAGGAAGAGGAAAGAAAAGGGAAGGAAGTGGTGAATGACATGGCAATCAGCCAGCAGCTTCAGATATCTAAGGGTTAATATCTTCAGGAACAACTAAATCTATATTAACTTCCCGCAAAGTAGTCATATAAGTTCTGTTGCTACAAAGAGGCAGAATAATGTGTCATCTTAGCAATTAGTTTATTGTGGAACGAGATTTTATGGGCAGTGGCCTGATTCAGAAAGTGCATGCAATGAATCCACATTCAATAATTTGTGAATGTTCCCACTCACTCACTGTAGGTGGTAACTCATTTCTAACTCTCCAAATTAAAAAGCACGTTCTTTTGCTTTTCAAATCAATGTGGAACGTCATGAGCAAGAGAGGCAGCAGTGGCTCTAATAATCTATATATACAGTACAGATATGCTTTTTGAGATGAATACGTAGCTTTCAGTGGCTGTGCATTACCCGGACCCTAGAGGAGGAGGAACTTCACTAGAGAAGGAGGAGACCCACACACAAAGTGAGGAAGTCTGGGCTGAGACATTTCTCTTACCAGAGTGAACGCCGGTTATGAAGCGTCCGAATATGACCATTTCAGGTGATTCCAAGTAGCGACTGAATCCCATTAACATGCCAGCCAGGAAGACGAGGACATTGCTACGGACCAAGGTACCATTCCTGGTAGAGAGGTCATTTATTTTAGATGGTTTCATTGAATCATAGAACCATAGAATTGTAGCGGTAGAAGGGAACAGAGGGTCATCTAATCCAATTCCCTGCAATGCAGGAATCTCAACTAGAACATACATGACAGATGGTCATCCAACCTCTTTGATTACAAAAAGTTCCAAATAAAACATTTTGTTCCATCCCCACTCCCTGAGGACCAAGGCTGGCTCACTCATGAGGCAAGGTGAGGTGACTGCCTCAAGTGGCACCATGGCAGGATCCATAGGGGCAGCTGATCCCAATGTAGAACTTACTTCCTTGCTCCTGAGGTAGATATTCACTCACCCATTCTTCCCTACCAGGGAGAGAGGTGCCATTTTCTGGTTCACCTCAGGTGCCAAAATATCTTGGGCCAGCCCTGCTGAACACTCTGCTCTCTGTTGCAACAAAATGCCCATCTGGCATCCCCATAATTGCCTCTCTGCCCCTTTCCTTCCTTGGTTCTTCTAACTCCTTTCCCCATTAGAATTGCATTGCCAGATCCTAAGGCCTGTAGTCAGAGGTGGACTGACTAGCCAAATGGGATGTAGATCAGAGATGGCCCTTCAGACGTTACTAAACTATAACTTCCAGCATCCCTAGCCATTGGCTATGCTGACTGAGGCTGATGGAACTTAGAGTCCAGCAATGTCTGGAGGGCCACAGATTCTCCATCCCTGATATAGATGATCACTGAGCAACCTTTCAGCTGGATTAATTGTTGTGATATCCAGAGTTTAAACGGAGACACGGTTGTTTGCTAGAGCATATGGAAATTGTTCTGATGGTAGATTTGGCAAGTAGCCTCAACTCAAATTAAATCTGGGATGTGAGTTGAGAGGCAGGCATAAGGAGTAGCTCTGTTTTGACAATCATAGCGTTATCCCAGCTGACACAACTGTTCTACATTTCTTTCTATTATTTATACACCCTCTTTAACAAAATATGTTTCCAATGAGCTTCAGGGACAGTTAAAGTGTCAGCTTAAAACATATTCAGAAGAACCCACGGTAAAGAATAATCGAGCTTCCAAGTGATTCAGTTCATTCCTGGTGCCCTAACAAAATAAATACTTTTAAAGAACATGTCTCAACTGAGATGTCAAAGAGGACCATAAATTAACTGACAGTTTTTATACCTATCGTCTATCTTTGCCTTCAGAGAGTCACAGGTTCAGTTCCCAGCATCTCCTGGTAAGAGATGGGGAGTGACCCTTGCCTGAAGCCTATGCTGCAGGCAGTGTAGACAAAACTGAGCTGGATGGAATAAGGCAGCATCCAATGTCTCACCAGTGTAGCCAAAAGTCAGTCTAGTCAGTATCTTGCACTGTTGTAACCTCTTTGATCTTTTAACTGTTTGAATTCTAGGATCATTCCTGCCTTAATCACATTATCCAGCTCAATTTTAGCGCTGTCCTTAATGGTCATGAGGTTGAAGGCTAATGAATTGGTCACATCCATGGGTGCTGCAGCTTTCAATGGGAAGAGAGAGGCAGTTTCTGGCTTGCGTGCCAAAACGTGTTACGTGGTAGTACATTCCTGCTGTCTAAACTCTACGGGGATTAATGTGTGTTTTGTAACATTTGTGGGGGGACTTGGGCATGATACCTTCTACAGGCCTCCTCTCAGAGAAGACCTACGTCCTCCTCACTGCTATTGCCACTGCACTTTTGCTTGCACCTTCCCTTTGGCCACAGTCCATACATCTGTCCAGTGGGAGATGGGTCAATGTGGTCTAAGGCTTCTTCTTCTGCTCTTTCTCTTTCCTCTTTTGTCACTGCTCATTGGCTTAGAAGGGACAGGAGAGCAGGCAATAGTGGCAAGGAGCAATTGCAGCAGGGCTAGGGGTTGGCCGGAGGGACATGGGTGCTAAGCTATGTGGAACTTAGTGCCACCATGGGTGGTGTATCTGTCAACACATCTTGGCTATGAACTGGAAATTCACTGTTTTTGGCCCTGCCCTTACCTTCCATATTGGGTTACCAGTACTCCCACAGGCAGTGATCCCACCAGGCCTCCCAGGGCAAAAACCGAGACAGTCAGTGAGTACATGAGAGTGAGCCGTGCTGGAGCCAGGCCCACTCCATAACGCCGAAACCATGTTGTGTTATAGAAGGCTTTGATGTGCTGCAGTGGAGGAAGATACAACATGCAATAAAATTGTGAGAGTTGTAGATCTGTGTTCACCATCATCAGATTTTAACCACAGGTTATTTGGAGTCTTGTGATGTCTGTGGGAAACAGTATTAACCCAAGTGAGGTCCTGGGAGAAACAGAAAGTTCAACATGGCGTATCAGGCCAGGAAGTGGAGAGAGGGGCATTCTAGCTCAGCAGAGGATGGAAGGCTCTATGGCGGTCAGTGTGTGCACTTTCTGTCTGAATCTTACCGCTGCTGGAGAGTTCACCACAGCCAAATTGTAGCCATACAGCATGGAAGACCCAAACGATGACAGCAGTGTGACAGCCAGCAGAGGGAAGGTGAGGTGCTAGGAAGGACAAGAATACATGTCAGATAAGGAGGAGGTGGAAGTAGGTCATGAGACATACCAAGCATGGGACATTGTTTTGCCACCAATATTTGCTATAGAACCTACATAACAACAGTGGTTCAAAAGTTGGTGCAAAATTCCAGAGGTAGCAGAAGGCAGCAAAGATGCTCATAGGAAACCCTCCACTCCCCAAAAAGAAAGAAAAGAAAAGAAACGCTAAGCATGTTTGGTGAGAGCTAAGTTTGTCCAAGTGCTGGAGCTCAGTGAGATTTACTGAAGGATTTGTTCAACTGGTAAAAGAAGTTGATGAGAATCAGTGGTGGCTGGTGCCCCTTGGGACCAGAGGGGCAGACGGCAAGGGGGCCAACAAGAAACAGAGCCAGAGCCTATGGCAGGCAGAGCTAGCTAAATATAGTTTCGTCTCTGTTCTCCTCCTCCCTTATTTCTACAAAGAATAACAGCTAACAAGCAATGCTGCTCACTGGCTGGTTTTAAGTAAGAAGGCAGCAAGTGGGGGCTGACTGAGGGCAGACTGAGTCTTAATGGGCCAGCCTCCACTGATGAGAAGACATTGCACATGAACACGCTTCTGGTAAGCCGAACCAGCGCTGAGGAAACTGTATAACAAATAAATATAGGCAGCTTTCACCCCAGTGGTGGCTAGTGAGGCAGTTACACTGGAGGACACCAGCATTGGCTGCATGGGAGATGAAGACCCAGCACCCCTCCTGGGTGGCATTGCAAGGTAGCAGAAGGGTTATTACCACTGTACCATGAAGGAAATCAGAATGGCAGGGTACTCGGAAAATAAAAAAGGTGTTTCTAAATTTGCCTATGACTGCACTTTCTCCAGAGTACAGAGAACGGAACCACACTATTAAAAGGGATTCAGGGAGTCACTGTTTTCTTTATGCCAACATTGTGCCCACTGGATACTACAACCCCCACCAGCCGCAGGCACTGTGCCCAATGGCCAGGGATGATGGGAGCTGTAGTTCAGCAGTATCTGGAGGGCACCACTTTGGCTATCTCTTTAAGCTATTCCTATGAATCATGTGCCATCAAGGAATTATTTCCTGGGCTGCCTGTGGTTTGCAGCAGTTCCAGCCAGAAGCCTCCTTCCGTTAGGTATTGCAGAAGAGCCAGCAGGAAGAGAGAGAACTGGACTCCCCAGGATAGTTTAACAGAGAAACTTTGACAATCAACAAAGGGTTCTAACCACACCCATTAAGGACTGGAACCAATTAATGTTGCACAGACAGAGCATGTGAAAGCCTATCAGATAAGCTTTTGCTACTATGTGGATTTTGTAAGTCTTGTATTGTATCCAGAGAATACAAGCTATTGAGTGTCTAATAAACGTAGCAAAACAACATGAAAAAAGAAACCCATCATGGAAATTAATAAAATTGTCGCAAGCTAGTTCCTTGGAAAATGGGTGGGTTCCTTGGGGGGGGGGGAGGATTCTTTAGAACAATTCATGGTACTGTAATTAAGGGCAACAGGACCATAATTAGCTAGCAGGAAGTATGGTAGAGGGAGGAAATCTCTCATTTGTCACAGAAACAGATCCATAAAGGGATCTTAAAAATACTTCCGCTTTGCTAGTCCAGGTAGGTCCTGTAAGGGAATGTGGATTCCAGAGAAAATGGAAGCTGGTAGGACTTTATCATGGTGAATGCAGGCCCAGATTGTGACACTTATTTAGGGTAAGAATATCATAGTAAAGGTAAAGGGACCTCTGACCATTAGGTCCAGTCGTGACCGACGCTGGGGTTGCAGCGCTCATCTCGCTTTATTGTCTGAGGGAGCCAGAGTACAGCTTCTGGGTCATGTGGCCAGCATGACTAAGCCGCTTCTGGTGAACCAGCGCAGCACACGGAAACGCCGTTTGCCTTCCCGCCAGAGCGGTACCTATTTATCTACTTGCACTTTGATGTGCTTTTGAGCTGCTAGGTGGGCAGGAGCAGGGACCGAGCAACGGGAGCTCACCCCGTCGCGGGAATTCGAACCGCCGACCTGATCGGCAAGCCCTAGGCTCTGTGGTTTAACCCACAGCGCCACCTGCATCCCTAAGAATATCATGGGAAGGCATAATAAATTATCTGAGGTCAGATGTGAATGCCAAGGAACCTTTTCTTATTTTTGCACAAGAGTTTATCACCCAGCCTCTTAAAGATTTATTATTATTAAAATATTTGCAATACTGACTTTCTATCACAAAAATAACTCAAGGTGGCTAGGCACAGACAGCAAAATGAGATGAATCCATAAACACGCATTATTTAAAGTGAAGCAACTGGACAATACAGAAGAGCCCACATTGCCCCCGCAAAATAGCAGAGTAACAAAAAGCACAGCCCTGCAAGACTGGTATACAGGAAGCTTAACCTGGAACAACCATAGTAGCAACTAGAAGAGAATTTTTACAGCTACCCAAAGAGGAGGTGTATTCCCCAGAATTTCCACATATAGAGATTTGCTGGTGAAATGTATTTTTATACGTACTGGAATAACTGGCTGGGATTCCCTAGCTTAGCTCATCCAAAATAGACCAGGCAGATGGTAGCAGCAGTGTTCCTTTTTAAGAATCAGGCAGAGAAATGAGAGGAGGAAATGGCTGTAATCCTACAGTGGAGCATCAGAAGTTGCTTGGTGCCCATTGGGACTGGTGGGGTAGAGGGCAGAGAGCCCAACAGAAGGTGGAGTCAGAGTAAACTAATTGTTGCCCCTTTCCTCTTTCCTGCTGAGTTCTCCAAGTGCTGAGACCAGGGAGGAGGAAGCTGACAGCCAGTGCCACCCTTTGAGCTGGTTTCAAGTAAGGAGGCAGACAATTGAGGGCTAACTGAGAGCAGACTGAGGTTGGTGGGACAGCGCTCCAGTAACCCCAATGGACCAACCTCCACTGCTATCAAGACCATCCACCTCAGTATTGCCAACACTGATACACAGTGACTTTCCAAGTTTTTAGGCAGGAGTCTCTTGGTTCTTCCTGGAGATGCTGGAATTTGAAGCTGGGACCTTCTGAATGGATAGCAGAGCATTCTCCTGTGGACCTTCAAGTGGTTCCTCCCATTATCCCTCTCTGTGGCATATGAGAGAGGAGGGCAGCTAAGCCATTAAGGAGAGACTTTGGGGTTGTTTCTGTGTTTACAGCATCATGCATCTCTCACAGAGTGAATGAGGGAGAAGCCAAAGGGGCACATGGTGTGGTGGACAGATGGGAAAGCGACGCTCTGGTTCAACATCCCAGTTTACTGCCACTTCTTCCAACATGGCACCATACAAGAATGTCAAGCTCACTATGCTGTTAAACGGAACGCTGGAAGTTGCATTATATTGAGTCAGACTCTCCATTCATCTAGCTCAGCATTAACTACCCTGGCTGGCAGGGGCATAGCATGGGGAGTGCCAGGGGAGCTGTGGCCCCAGGTGCATAATTTTGGAAGTGGCATGAACCAGGCGTCCCTATGCAGGTGACCCCAGCATGGTGCAGCCCAATGCTCCTCTCTGCCCACCAAGGGCTGCATTGGCTGGCCAGGCTCCCGCCAGTGTGAACGAGCAAGTAGCTCAGTGCAGCCCCATTTTGCTCCAATGTGGGTGGGGTTGTTCCAGTGGCAAGGGCTGGGCTGGCACGTGCTCTGGGTGCCACCAACCAGTGCTACACCACTGCTGACTGGCAGTGGTTCTCCAGGGTTTCAGGCAGGGGACATTCCCAGCCCTACCAGGAGATGCCAGGGACTGGACCTGCCACACTCATGCTGTCATTCCTGGCTCACTTTGCACTGTGTGCCTCGTGTTCTGAGACACAGAACACTGGCTATTATAGAACCTGCCTGAGCTGAAATGATAATTCAGTATTACTCCCTATGACTGTGGAAAATGGACATATTATTTTCTTCTGAACTGTAGACAGGCAGGACTTTTCAACATTCCAGGCTCAGGGAAACATGATTTCTAAACTGAAACTGGCCCAACATTTACTGTCAGCCATTTCTTCCTATTCTGCCTATGTTGGCTTGAAAGTCCTTTGCAGTCTAGTACTTTTCTCTGTGGAAAGATGTAGGCATTCAAATGCTGAAAGTAACCAGGATTGGTCCCTTAATACAGTAGTACGTTGGTTTACGAACTTAATCTGTTCTGGAAGTCTGTTCTTAAACCAAAGCCGTTCTTAAACTGAGGCACGCTTTCCCTAATGAGGCCTCCCACTGCTGGTGCCCTTCCACCGATCAGCTTCTGTTCGTAGACCGAGGTAAACTTTGCTAAGTGGAACACTAGTTCCGGCTTTGTGGTGTTCATATACTGAATAGTTCATAAACAAGGCTGTTCTTAAACCGAGGTACCAGTGTAGTTATTTTTTTAGGGGGGAGGAGCCTTGCCACAACTCATTAGCATATGGCAATAACTTAATAACATATGCAGATCACCAACGATCTGCAAACCCAAAGAAAATGAAATAAAAACTACATAGCCAGGAGGCAAACTTAGAGCAGGAATGATTAAGCTTCATTCTCATAAACAGGAAAACATGCAACAGACACAAGTGAAATGGTGGCTGCAAAACACCCCAGTTGAAACATTACTTTATAAGGAGCTAAAGAGCACCATTTCCAGCACCCTTCCCCCCCCCAACCCAGTAGCATCTGCAGCTGGAAAGATCTAAAGCAGGCACCCCCAAGCTTCGGCTCTGCAGCTGTTTTGGACTACAATTCCCATGATCCCTGACCACTGGTCCTGTTAGCTAGGGATCATGGGAGTTGGAGGCCAAAACATCTGGAGGGCCACAGGTTGGGGGTGCCTGATCTAAAGCTACTAGACTTAGAAAGGTCTTTCTGGACTGAGTTCCCCACCCCAGTTTTGGCCCTGATTCCTTAGGCCAGCACAGCAAGCCCCATACCCTGGGAAGCTGGAAACTGTCACTCCACATATCCCAGAGCACAGTAGCTGAGATTATAGTCTTGGCCAGCCTTCTCAAGTCGTGTGCAATTAAAATCCCAGCTAATCCCTTAAGGAATGCTGGGCACTGCAGCACGCCAGGCTCAAGGGAGATAACCTTTGTGGCATATAGAAAGCTCTAAAAAAACATCAACCCACACTTACCCCAGTGATCTTTCTGTGGAAGTCAAAACGCAGGTTGTTGTCCATTTGGGCAATCTCTGTCTTTTATGTCCAGACAATGCAATGAAGGTTCAGCAGGAAGAAGTGAAGTTGCCTGGCTGAGATCCACTTGCTCATTTCAGTGACCCATGATGGGATTGTCCAGGAGAGATGAAAAACTCAGCAAAGTAATACTTGATGCTGTAAGACCCTCTGGAGGCTCAAGCTACGGAGACGCAGACACACACCTCCCCACCCCCCCACCAACTTGCCAAATGACGGACAGAAAAGCCACAAGCACATGGGCCAAGGCAGTAAAAGGAAGATAGGGAGAGAAAGATGCAAGAGACGGAAGAAAAGCTCTGCTTCATTAAGCCCTTAGAGGCAGTGCTCAATCACATGATGGTTGATGTGATTCGCTTCGCTTATTTGAGAAAGAGATACATAGTTCAGAACCTGGAGCCGCTAGGACCTTCCAGCATTGGCAGCTGCCCAGGGCAATATTAACTCTCTCTGTACCTGGATAACGGTTGTAGGAGAAGGGATTAGCACATTAGAAATGTATAACAATAAGGGCCATTGTAGGGCTGAAGGGTGGTATTCAATTCAGCCTTGTTTAGAGTAGATCCGTCAAAATTAATTGGCTACCTTAGCCATGTTCATTCATTTCAATGAGTCTATGCTGGGGCTGATGGAAGTTGAGAGTCCAGCAACATGTGGACTTCCTGCCCTAAATGGAGAACATAGAATGGAATCCTTTTCTTTCAGGATTTCATGTCGGGTGCTAGAGGAGGATGAGGTAGCAATGCATCTTGAGTCTATATAGCCTCACAGATTTGGGAGAGATTTCAAGTGGGGGATGTAGTTTAACTCCTTGCTGATTGGGGAAGTTCACTGCTAGGTGGACTCTAACTAAAATCTCTAACTAAGGAAAGTTCATTGCTTTCCAAGGGTGTTGAACAGTTCATACCACCAGGCAATATTTAGTAATGTGTGGTCTAAATCCACTCATTAGGCTGAACCCATTGGTTTTGGTTCCTATCCCTACACTGTGCAGCAACAGAAGACAAACTTGGCTTCATCTATTTGAAGGTGGCTTTCATATTACCTCTTAATTGTGCTTTCTTCAGGCTAAACATGGCCAGTTCCTTCAGCCATTCCTCATAAAACTTGAGGGGCTTCAAAGTGAGCTGTTGATTGAGCACTTATCCTGATTCATTTGTTCACAGAGCAGCTAGACAACGCTGACTTGTTAGTGAGCATTCATCTCTATCTGGTTGCAGGGAGTTTGTTTAGACAATGTTGCATCAAACACTTTCCATGGTTTCCAGTGCATTTCCCCATTACTTTCCATATTTCCCAAAAATCTGATATTTTGGGAAAGTGGGTTTGTTGTGCAAGTCTTCCTGATCTACTATCACAACCTGAATTGGGTGGTATGTGCTTGAATCCCACCCCCAAATAGCAAGGCTTCTCAACATCTTTGTTCCTGTTCCAGTTGGATGGTGTTGAAAGGAAGAGTCTGCTCTCCCAAACCTTTCCCTAAAGTAATAAAAAGTCCCTCCAACCACTAGCATAAATTTGTGCCTCTCCCTACTCAATCACATTGTCCTTTAAAAAAAAAAGCATGGAGATTTATTTTCTGCATGAAAACACAAGTTGCCTTCTGTTCAAAAAATCATTTCTCCTGGTGTGATTAAATTTGCTCTAAAACCATGTTGGCACACCATGCAGTCACACATCTGGAGAGGTGCCCATGTTTTTTGGGTTCACCCCAGTAACAGTACTAACAAGCATAAAAGCACTTTGAGCGGCAAATCCCAGTGCTTTGGAGAACCAGGAGAATAGTTCTGATATTTAAACCAAATTCCTAGACTCAAAGTTCTTAAGGAACATAGTAAGGAACATAGTAAGCCATAGTAAGTCAGACCATTTGGTTCACTTTGCTCAGTATTGTCTGCATCAACTAGCAGTTCTCCAGAATTACAGGTATAGGGACATCCCTTATCTGGGACATGGGTGGCACTGTGGTCTAAACCACAGCAGCTAGGGCTTGCTGATCAGAAGGTCAGCGGTTTGAATCCCACGACGGGTGAGCTCCGTTGCTTGGTCCTGCTCCTCAACCTAGCATTCGAAGCACATAAGTCAAGTAGAAACGGTACCTCGTGGGAAGGAATGCGTTTCCGTGCCTGCTCTGGTTCGCCAGAATGCTCTGGTTCGCTAGCATGCTGGCCAACCTGACCAGAAGCTTACGCTGGCTCCCTCGCAGTAAGCGGATGAGACACCAGATCGGCCACAGCTGGACCTAACTGTCAGGGGTACCTTTACCTTTATCTGGAGATGCTGGCAGTTGTTCTCAATGAGCTATGGCACTTCCCCTGTAAATTTTCAGACAATAATCCTAACACATTTACTTGGGAACAGATGTGTCCTATTGAACTCAAGAGGATTATGACCAAGTAGGCAAGTATAGGGTTATACTGTAAGTGTATGTCTTTTGCACCAGGCACCAGTTGGTAGATCTTAAGGTTTTAGTAAAAAAACATAACAACACCCAGAGTAGATCCTGGGACCCTGAATTCTTCCTACCCGTGTACTAGAATAATACAAGTGGCCTTAATTGATATTGGAAAGAATTGAACGTTCTTACACACACACACAAAATCACTGGTGACCTCTGGAGTATTTTCTCCTTTTGAAGAGTTCTGTTGATGCTTAGCACAATGCCCGTGCCAACTTCTTAAAGCAGAGGTCAGCAACCTTTTTCAGCCATGGGTCTGTCCACCATCCCTCAGAGTATGTGGTGGGCCGGACTATATTTTTTTGGGGGGAAATGAACGAATTCTTATGCCCCATAAATAACCCAGAGATGCATTCTAAATAAAAGCACACATTCTACTCATGTAAAAACACCAGGCAGGCCCCACAAATAACCCAGAGATGCATTTTAAATAAAAGGACACATTCTACTCATGTAAAAACACACGGATTCCCAGACCATCCACGGGCTGGATTGAGAAGGCGACTGGGCCGCATCCGGCCCATGAACCTTAGGTTGCCTACCCCTATCTTAAAGTCTTGAGTCACTTCACTTTGGGAGCAGTGGGAGATATGGTTGTCATGCAAATATTCATCAATGGAGCTATTGTCCTGCCAATATTTAGGCTTTTAAAAGCATATTTCCTACAGGGTGTGTTCAGTATTAGTCTCCAGTATCAGGAGGAGAAAACCAGTTGTGCCACACTGCCCATGTTACATGGAATAAAATTGGTTCTTTCATTGCTTAGCAATGCCCAAGCAGTATTTGTGAAGCGAGGAAACAGTGCCAGGGAAAGGTGATTTCTGCTCCTTAGAAATCAGTAATGTCGATTTCAATTCTCTTTGTTTCTCATTTTCCAATCTTACACTCAGTTCTCCACATTTCCACAGCAATTTGCAATTTTAAAAAATCCTCATTGTCTGCATTTTAGTGTGAATTTATCCAATTAAAACATTTTTTACGCCCTTTTGACTAATGCACACTTTTTTGCAGTTTCCTGATACAAGGCAATTTTGTATGTTATTTTCATAAATGTATTCATTTTTTATGCATGCTTACTGCCAATATATGCATATTTGTAAAAGTTGGCTGGAAAACTGAATCGCAAAATGCATTTGTGCATTAGTTTGAGAAGGGTGAATTAGTTTCACATTAAAATGCAAACAAAACCAAATTTCTTTCCTTGTTCTTTCCTACTCAGAACAAATACTTCCCTTTTGGAAAATGAGGCAGTAAAGCAGGTGAAGCAGAGACCTTCAGAGTTTGGTAATGAACTGAGTTGGCAAGAGGAGGGCAAGAGCAGCAAAGAGCCGGCCGCAGTTATTCAATTTACGGTCAGAAGTCTTCATTTTTGGGAGAGCTTGTGAGGCTGAGGCAGCCCACAAGGCACAAGACTGAAAACTCTTGGCAGTAAAAGAATCATTTTTTCCTAGACTGGGTGGCCACCCCTTCCCAAGCCTTCACTCTAGCCATGAAAGAACACTTTTGTATTCTTATAAGTTGGTGGGTGGAATTTGTTTTGCGGAAACCGGGCATTCTGCCAAGCTTGGATATTTCTTGCTGCCCCAGAAAAAGAATTTGCAGCACTTCTAGCTCTCCCACCTACCTGGTATACCAGCATATCGGCGAAGATGCACAAGTATCTTGCTTCTCTTCAGTACCACACTAGTAACTGAGTGCTATTCCAGGTTCCAGGATCAATTATCCATAATGCCTTTCAACTCCCAGCTGACATGCTTCTCGCATTGTGGGCCAATTTCAGAAGAGGCACTTCATTTTCAAATTTCAATTTTCCCTGCATGATGACATTACACTCATCTGTGCAATGTTTTTTGAGCAGAACCCAAACTTTTGCATTCTGACATCACACCCACCATTGCTAGTGTGTAACATGAGACCTCAAGCAAGTCTCATAAACCTGTTGTGTCAATGCATTGTCCTGGCTCAAGGGATTCTCAACATTGGATGTGCATCATGATGCAAAAGGACACGAGATGCATGCCCATAGCTTTGTCCAGAGCAGATTTGGAAGGTGGTTGAGAGCAAGGAGACTCAGGACAATTTAAAGACACCCTCTACAATTTTAGTACAACAATGCATGATTAAGGACAGCTCCAATGCATGGGCATCTCATAGCAGGATTGGGCAGAAAGGACAATCTCTGGGTGAGCTACTGCAGATCGGCAAATGCTTTCAACTCCCAAAACTTTGTTCACCTCAATGAGGCAGCTGAAATGAAGAAAGCTCATCCGGAGTGGATTTTTGTGTGAAATGGCTTGAGGCTCATTTCAGTTCTGGTACTGAAAATGAATCCCTCTGTACAGAAAGCACCAGAAGGCTCCCAGTTTTTAAATTTTAACCATATGCCTTTTGGACCTGGTTCCTGTTGGTAGATCATTGGATTTGGGCAGGGGCAGGGGGGGGAAGTGATGCAGCAAGCCTAGTCTTTCCAGCCCAGCATAGTATTTATGTGAAATATACGCTACCTTTCTCATAGCACATTTTATCATTGGAGTTGGGAATCCTAAACAAAGCCACCTTAGGATTTCAGTTTTCTCACTGCTCCTCAAAACAGCATCCTGGGTTGCCAACTGAGTGAAGCAGAGGACCTCAGCAGGTAACTGCCCAGAACATACTACTTGACGTAGTCCAGATTTAGCCACTTCCCTTTCCTCAAGGCAGGGTGCCAAAAGATAAAATGTAGATGCAACCTAGAAAGCCAGTCATGCAAAGGAGAATGTCCACGCTGAGCTGGAAACCTAGTGGAAAGATGTCCTTTGGCGTATTAGGAATAGGAGGTGAAAAGAGGGGAGAGCAACAGGCAGTGCCCTGTGAGGGGCCCAGTAGCCTGAGAACAAAATAGGGACAAACAAACCTTAAATATACAAGTAAAAAGTGAAGGCACTAGTAGCAAGCAATGCTGTAAAATTTAGAGAAATGGCAGCACATATATACTTCTCTACCAGTAAATAATTTTGAGGGCTAGCAACTTTTATGGTCTGCAATACTGTTTTGAAGGGTTTCCTTAACTCGTGATGCCAGAACCCCCTTTCTTCATTCAGTTTCTTTCAAGTTTAGCATTGTGGTTAATTTGTCCTCAAATGTTTGGAAATGTCTAGAATTTGTTTTGTTAAATTTTTATATTATTTCTTAAATGAAATGCTACTTGGATAGTTTTGGGTTTTTTGCAGTCTAAAACATTTGTTAAATCCAGCAAACAAGTAATCTGTGGAGTTTGATTTCTAATTGGAAAATAACCATTCCCCCCCTCCCTGCCCTTGGTTCACGGTTTTGCTCTGCAACCATAGATTGTATTTTCTCTCCCTGTGAAACGTCACAAAGCGCCACACAATTTACAGGCATTTTGCATAGTTGGACAAGGATGTTATGATACACAGAACAGATTTTACTTAATATAGGCCCTGCTGTTTTGAGGGTGCCTCCAAGGTGCCTATGTTTTCCATCTGTTTTTCCACCAGCCTTCCTGAAGGAAAATCATGGAGAAGGTAGTAGGCAGGTCTGTTGGAATATATGGAACAGTGACATCTAGAACATAGTGTGACAGACACTAGTCTTGTTGAAAATGCAAGGCAGACAAAAGAGAGCAGCAGAAGCCAAGACGAGGCTTGGCTAGCTCAGTCGGTAGAGCATGAAACTCTTAATCTCAAAGTTGTGGGGATAAGGCCCATATTGAGCTAAAGATTCCTGAATTGCAGGGGGTTGGATTAGATGACCCTTGTGGTCCCTTCTGACCCTATAATTCTATGATGTGCGGCCAGGAGTGTGGAGCTCCATCCTTGGTTCTGTCCAAACCACCTAAAGTATTTTGTTTTGTTGAATTCATGTGTAGCGTGTTAATTGAATTTTCTTTTTTTTAAACCAAGATTCTGAAAGGCCAGTTTCAGTGGACTAAGTGAACTGCTAGGAGAGCAAACTTTCTAATTGTAAAGAAAATCCAGGTCAGGGAAACAATGGACTGGCCTTAAGCACAAATAAAAATATACCTAATGGGAAAAGTTAGCCAGAGGTGAAGGTGGCAAAGCAACATGGTGGGTCCAGTAAGAAGGCAGAATTTGAATTATTCTGTATGTCATCTTCTTTGAACCAAAAACATTTAAATAACTGCATTCTGTGCATCTTCTAAATAAGGGAAGGTCACAGTTTTTCACTCAAATATCTTGCAGGATCCATTTAGGATCCATTTCCCCTTTTTAAATGCACTCCTTTTGCTGTCACACGTTTTGATCAATTTACAGTGCTTTAGATGGAAGATATCATTAATGAATGGAACTCATAAAGTACGCTGAGATTTTATGAATAAGCTGCCCCAGTGTGAATGAATGACAGTCAATGCACTTAATGAGATGAGGTTGAAGTTCTGCACTAGTTCATTCATTGACATAGTGCCTGGGAAACAAACATTCATTTAAGATTAAAGAAAACACACACGCTCAGCAGGTTCACAGCTTAATCTTATAATTGTATTTAAGTTATCTTCTGAACAGTTAAAATATTTTTTCTTAAAAAAACCACACATTACCATGACCCTAGCTCAAGTGAACATTAGTACGTTAGCTACACATCACCAGAACATAATCACAAAAATTCCAAAGCACTCATTACTTTTAGAATCTAGAGAAAAAGAGAGCAGAGTTACAAATAAAAATAAGAGATCATGTGCTTTCTTTTTAACCTTCTGTGCCCACAGTTATCTGAGCTTCCTGCAGTTGCTAAAGGCATGCACTGGTCTAGTGGGTGTTTGCTTTCAAAGGAGCAGCAAGCTGTTAAGAGAATAAATTGTCATAGGAGCCAATTCAATTTTGCCAGATTTTAAACTTGCAACCCCCACACTAACGTGCTGTGCAAAAAGATATTAGAATTAGCAATTTATATTGTGAGCATTTCCTCTTGTATGGATCAACAGCTACGTTACTTTTCCCTACTCAACCTAAATTCATAATTTGGAAGTGAATTTTTTTGACCATCTATGACCATTTTAGTCCCAGAGAGATAAGGAGGAAAAAAAGCTCTGCTTTAACCAGCAAAGGCAGCCAATAACATGGAGAAAATAAACATGGAGTATTTAGAAAATGGTCCTCTGTGCCTTTCTGCTAAAGCATCTGCTTTGGGCATCATAGATTGGGCAGCGTGCACAATAATGTTTTATGCATATTAGATTCCTGAGAATCCCAGCTTCCCTTTTTAAAAAAGCAAGTTTCTGGCCCTCATTATAGTGAAAATACATTTGAAATCATGCAAGAACCATTGTGAAATGCTCAGGTCAAAACCTGAAGCTTTAGTTTCTTGAAGCCTACCCTTGCAACCTTGTTTCGCTCACACTCATACAGCTTTTCACAACCCTCTTGCCTGTCTAAACTTTCATTGTCCATTTGCTCTTGTGCAAGTGCCCAAATGCAGAGTTCAGAAGAAAGCATGCAAATCAATACAAATTAAGTGAATTTGGGTGTTTTACTGATTTGCATTGAACAGTGAATTTTAGTTTTTTAATGTACACAAGTATATCTACAGAACAGACAACTACTTATACTTTCTCCAGAAAAGCTGAGTAGCGCTTTAGGGAAAGCATTTCTGCATCTAGATTGGTGTCTGTAGATCAGTGAATTTGCATGAGCTCTAGAGCCAAGTAATAATGGTTTCTTAATGGGGCTAACCGCATAGTTATGTTCCACTGTGAAGGTTATTGTTGATTTGTCAAAGGTCTACATCCTGAGCATACCTTGCATCACTGAAAGGTCACTAATTGTAAATCTCTGTATGATTACTGCCACTTTAGAAGACCTAAATTCGTGTGCTACAGCCCAATTGCATTTTGCAGACCAAAGATATAATGTATAACTATGCCCATGATATAGGATGCTGCAGTCCTGAAAAGAGCTCTGATTTTAACAAGCAGATTGAGGACTAGTCAATCACAATTCTGAAGGGGAGCCTATAAATAAAGCATGGGCTGCACCCATGTTTTATTCCAGCAGCCATGTTATAAATCAGAAAGATGCAGAGGGTGACTTACAATACAGAAGTGTTGCTTCCAGAGCATGCAGTTCCCAGGATGCAGCATTTAAACCCAAGTGGAAACTGCCCAGGACATGATGGCCTAAAGTGAGAATTGTGCTTCCACAACCAGCTGGCTCACTCTCAGCTGGATATGTGAGATTGATTTCAGAAAAAGGAGATTTACCCAGAAGTGCAGCTTGAGGAAAAATCCAAAAGGCTTCCTTCTTCAGGGAAACCCCTCCCCCCCAACCCCCCTAATTTGACCACTTGATTAAAGGAAGAGGAATGGATTAGGACACAGCTCAGCATTGTTAAAATGCATCATATATGTAGGCCACTTAGGGACAATATATGTGCCTTGTGCCACCTAGAGTTTCCCCAATTCTTTCTTCCCGAATCCAGGAGAATTTGGGAAGGCATGCAAGCTGTATAAGCCTTTGTAACTAAAAACTACTGAATGTTCCTTCTACCCTCCTATATAGAATAGTTCCTTCCTGGTATGAAGCAACAGCAGAAAACAGCACACAAGTAGTCACTTCTTTTGATAACACTGTTAACTCCTAAACATGTCTGAGCATAGCATGGGAGGGAAAAGACCCCCAGGACCAGAAGACCTCATTTGGAGAGGTACCAATCACATGAGTTCAAATTGGCAGATTCATATATGAACCCAGAGAAGGGGAACACACATATGTACCACTCTCCTTTTCTTTTATGAAGTCAAAATAGGTTTGTTTTTTGCTGGCGGCAGCAGGGTCTCTCTCCCATCTTCTAATTTCAGAGGCAAGCATAAAGTCTTAAAATAGTCATCAAAAGGTCCAACTTGTTCAGAAGCCTAATCAGGAACGGTGAAAGTGGCTTAGCGTTGCTGCAGGGGGGGTTCCTATGCTACGTATTCAGCTGGGTGCCCAGGCTGAGCTTATGTTATTTAAACTACTCAATTGCTCTAGGGTTAGAAATGCACAATTTTACAGCAAGGTTCTCTCCTATGGCTCAGAGCCAGTTGTGCGCTGCTTTTCCTTCTGTAAATACCTGCCTGTGGAGCTCTCCGCTCCACACCAGTGAAAGGCAAGGCCATTTGTGATTAGCAATTCCAAGTTAGCATTTCATTGCCAAGAAAGATATTAGGGCTCAGCCCCTCTTCAGAAACGTCATTAATATTCCCTTTTCAGCTTTTGCATCAGATTCATTTGGAATTACCCATATCAAATTAACCCTTGAAATGTCCATGTATGGAGATGCTTTAGAGCCTTTCTCTTCCAGTGAAGACCAAAGCCCTCCCCAAATGGTTGGAGATGCAGTAGGCTGAAGGCTGTAAACTTCATGCAACTTGAGTGGGGTAGAAGTTGGAGGGAGGAGGTCTTGCTTTTTGCAGTGGCCTTTCTCCATGCCAAGGCATGGTGGGCCCTCCTTCTATTGGAAAAGCACCATTTCAGCTTCTTCCTTGAAATGACTTAACGGGAAAAAACCTCACTACTTTCCCCTTGGTGACAGGTTTTATACATTAGAATTAATTCTCCAGTACCATGTTTGTTTGTTTTAAAGCCCCAAAGCAGTTAGGTGTGTTTGGGAACAACAGCAGGGAAGAGAAGGGTTATGACAATAAGGAAAGGCTGCACCAGAAATGACATTGTCTCTTATCTGATCTCCAACTCCACATAACAGAAACAACCCCCCTATGTGCTTGACAGAGCCACCGCCAAAGACACTTCCCTACACACACACACACACACACACACACACACACGGGAGAAAATACTGATCTCACAGCTCTGCCAGCGAGCAAAGAGAAAATAACCTGTTGATGCTCCAGTTGTAGTGGATCTACAGTCCTGTTCCACACATTGTCAATACTGTACTACAAAGTATAAATGGAATCCGAGTAATAGTGATGAAACAGGGCTGGGGTGACAGTGAGCTTTCAAACATAATGAAGAACTAGTATGTGGCAATCTGTCTCTCGTTTTCCATCTTGCTTTGCAATTCAGTGTGCAAGGCAACCTTTTTTCATACTCTGAAGGATAGCACAGTTAAGGAAAGCCTTCTAGCTGCAGCTGTGACTTCCTTTGCCTTTGCTCAAAGAAACACTTAAAAAGAAAAGCAGACTATGCCTTTGGTGCTAATGCAGCCCTGGATGATACGCAGGCTGAGAATCCATGGGTAAGGCAGAGCACTTGCACAAAACTCTCACTTTTGAACCAGAGTAGAGAACTACAGGACAGAACCAGCTGCCCGTTTATTCTTAGTTTCCACTGACTTTCTGAGCCCACCGTGGCAAATACCTAACTTCACTGTGGGGAAATTGCTACTCCCAAGTGAATGAAGAGGAGACAGGCCACAGAGGGGACCTGCTTAGCAGCATAAAAGTGAAGCTCTTTCCCCCTAACTTCCAAATTTAAACCTTGGCCAAAGAAGTTAACCCTTCCTTGTAGGAGACAAGCGTTATGCTATTCCCACACAATGATGGGGAGTTATGTAGTACCACAGGACAGGTTTGCTTTTGGTCTTTTCTGTCCCTAGCTAAGACCCCTCCACTGTTCTCCTCTACTATTATCCCTTCCACCACAAAATGACCTTGCAGCTTACAGACTAAGATGTGGAGTCAGCAGAATCTCCCGTTCTTTCAGGAGTTCCCTTCCAACAGATGCCAGCCAACGAATAATGACACAATCAGGTTAACAGGAAAAGTCTGAAGTCTTCGCTGAGTGCTGAGGGAATAGGGTGGTTGCTACTGTTGATACCATACTCTTCTTCCGGGGGGGGGGGGCGAGGAGCAGAGGTGCAATAGTGCACCATGTGGGGAGGGAAGGAAGAAGAACATGGAAATATATTCATATACTTTGACAGCAGAAATACTGCCCATCACCAATGCTGTCACCAGTAAGTCTCACCTCTTAAGTAAATTAGACTTTGGCAGAAGAAAGCTTCACCTTTCATTTACTGGCATCCGCCGGATGAAGATTTTAGACAAGTGACTAACTGCAGAGGGCTTAGCTGAAATTATTTAGACTTCATCATTATCTCCCGACTGGTTTCTGGCCACCGGGGCCTTCATTTGACATCAAGTTGGCCCTCCTTTAAAGTCCAAGGCCCATCTACAAAAAAGTAGATGCGTCCTTATCACAAGTCCCCAAAGGTAGAGGCATCAGCCTGCTGTTCCCCACCTACCAACACATCACGAGGTGATTCTCCCATGGGAACAAATGGTGGCAAGGATTTTTCTGCTTAAGAGCGAAGCAAGAAATTCTGGCAACATGTTAAATATATTTATAGGACATCTGCACTCAGGACAAGAGAGGAGATGGGAGGGAGAAGAGTGTGAAGAGGGGAGGTGTAACACATCAGTCATTCAGGAAAGATAAAAGGAATCTTCTGATATAGCAGCACTTGAGCAGTCAGCTGCGCTGAGAAGACCTTGTCTGAGATCAACCACGCGCTGACTTGGTTCCAGAAGTGTGTCTGAGAGCCTCTCTCTTCAGTTATATCTGTTATGTGGATAATTCTTTCGTCCTGGCATTGGCAGGTAATTTAAATATCGCAGCTTAAATGAGTCCTAGGAAAGAAAAGACAAGAACTATTTGTCATCCACATTTTTGCTAATGAAATTTTATAAACCATCAAAAGATGATTATAGGCAATCTAGATTTTTCAAAATGGATACATCTTTGTTGGGGTGTGTGTGTGTGAACCCTCAGCCTGTGTATGTGATCTGTTTCCCAAGTTATTGTTAACGTTCAGTTGGTGGTGGCAAGGAGGGAAAACCCAAATTATGTTGGGGAGAGACCGTGACAGCACCTCCACATTGTTTCTGTTGCAGGTGGCAGTAGTGCTGAGAAGTGGCAAGGGGCTGATTGGAGTGCCCAGGAAACTGGATGGAGCACTCTGATGTTTCAAAAGTACGGGTGCCGGTTGAGCACTTGAGGAACACAACATTCCTTCCTGTTTCCTGATCACTTGTTTCTGATCCTTGGCTGAGGTAGGAAAACTGCACCTCCCAGGTAGAGTGCTAGAGTAAGAAGTGGTTATTCATTACAAACTTCAGTTTCGTTCTCTCCTCAGCTTGCGCTCATTTAAATTAATTCATTCTTGGTCCACTGCAGTTACAAGGCCATTTCTTCCTAATGCTCCTACAGGCAAGGAAGTTCTGAGAAGCCAAAGGACAGAACCACCCTTGTCACCCTCCTTCCCTTTATCTGCAGTGGCTTTCAGTAATACTCTCAGTTAAGGAACCAGCAAAACCTCCATTCACAAATCATGTCTATCCACCATGCAGCCTACCTGCTGCATTAACGTCTTGTTGCTGTTTTTTTACCTGTGCAAGTGTGAGGTACAGTGTAGTGCTATTTATCTGGAGATGTAAGTGTATGTTCTGGAAGGGGAGCGGTTAGATTCTGCTTGGGTAGCTGGATCATTCAGGAAGTCCCAGATGAGGATGGTGTCATCATGCGAGCTGCTAACTATTTGAAATTCGTCAAACTGGAGCCGGAAAACTCTGCCGGAGTGCTCCTGGATGGGGAAAGGGAGACAAGTCAAATTCAGAAGCATTAAGGGTTGCTGTGATCTTAGCACTGTATGTTTCTGATTGCAGAAATGTGAGGTTTTAATACAGAAGTATACACCTCCTCCTAAAGAACCAACTGCACAAACAAGCAGTCCTTTCATTACCTAACCAACAAAAAATCAGGAAAAGGTTTGCACTCATGTTCAACCTCTAAATACCAGAAGCTGGGAATACTTGATGGAGGAGGGCACTTAGAAAAGTTAGTTGTTGCTTTCCCCCCCATTTGTGGCCATTCTAGTCCAATCTGGCTGGCCACTGGTGAAAACAGGATGCTGGACTAGACAAATCCTTGTTCTGATCCAGCAGAGCATTTCTTACTCTCTTATGTGAAATGAGTATTTATTATGTGGCCTTTCCTCTTATCATCTGGAAATTGAGAATAAAACGGCACACACTATGCTGCATTCATTGCAGAGACAGGTTTAATTTTAGATCCTGAGGAGATGCAGCAAAACAGCAAATGTTACATTTTCCCAGTTAGCAAGCACCTAAAACTTGCCTGTTTCTGCTCACCCTTTTGAAGGTAAGAGTATCAGACACAACTTTAATGAGGCAGTGAAATCTTAGGGTTTGTTTACAGTGGTGGTTTAGCCACGAGCAGCAGGATTCACAAGTCAGTCTCAGCTGAAGTGTGAACATAGTCACTCAGGGGTAATGAGCACTGACTCCCCCAGCACCTCATTAAGGCTTAATGAATTCTACACCACTTCATATATTTGGTCCTCTAGGATCAGAACAACGAAACAAGGTGGCTGCTTTTTCACTTATCCTCTGGGTCCTATGTTCTCTATAAAGCAGCACAACTGTATTTAGATATATATCAGGCAGAAGGAGTTGAGCTGGCCTATACCGTGTGAATTAGTTTGGAAAAAGCACAACTGCATTGCTACAACAATGGACACATCCAGTGGCGTAGCGTGGGGGGTGCAGGGGGGGCCGGCCGCACCGGGCGCAACATCTGGGGTTAGGGCAAATCCACGGGTTAGGGGGCGCAAATCCACGGGTTAGGGGGCGCAAATTATTTGCCTTGCCCCGGGTGCTGACAACCCACACTACGCCACTGGACACATCTGCCACAGAGCAGACAAGCTCAATGCCATCATTAGAGTCTTTGTATTCTGCTTATTCTCCACTTTAAGGCATAGTTTTAAGGCAAGGCAAATTCAAGACAAACCTATATTCAGTGGCGTAGCGTGGGGGGTGCAGGGGGGGCCAGCCGCACCAGGCGCAAAATCTGGGGGTTAGGGTTAGGGGGCGCAAACCCACGGGTTAGGGGGCGCAAATTACTTGCCTTGCCCCGGGTGCTGGCAACCCACGCTACGCCACTGCCTATATTAGGACTTCTTTTGCATACGATGCAAGCTTACAAAAAGCAGCATTCTTTAATGGATTAGATTTGGTGGCATGGCTAAGGAGGAGCATATTTTAGTCTAACTCTCATTTGACAATCCAGGTGAAGTTTTATTATGTATTAATACTGGGTAAATATGATCAATCAAAAGCTCTTACCACAAGAGTGCGCAGGCAGAGGGTTCCAGCAGGGGCACGAGGGTCCAGGGCAGCTACCAGATCCCACACCTTAATTTTCCTGGTGGCACGAAAAAGAAGAAAGAACCAGAGTTTCATTAAAAAGTGCAAGCACTACATGATATTAAAAAACTGAGTTATTAATCCATCTCAGCTGATCAATCTATTTCATGGAGAAAAAAATAGATCTGCATCTGTTTTTGCAACTTGGTTTTGCTGTTTTCTCTTGTGTTGGCTGGAGGTAGTATGGTTGATATGAAGATAACAGATCTTAATGGGAAGTGTATGGTAAACATAATAATAAATTAAAACTAAAGAGGTGACATCAATTATAATGGAAGGAATGATAAACGTTACACTGTATTGTACTGTGATATGACTTCAGTAATAGTAATAACATGTATAATTTGGTGAATCCAAGTAGTGTTTACCTCACCAGCATGCCTTTTATTTTAGGTCCTGTTAATGGGACTTTTATAAGCAAATTCTATCTTCCACTTATCCAAATGAGGCCAGCAGGAAAACAAATTTGATTGCTACTATAAGTGGTTGTCTGCAGAACCTGCAATGTATTTTAATATCTCCTCCTTTAAATACTACTAGTATCTGTTCTTCTTGCATTTTATATTTGTAATGCTGAATGGGGAAAATTGATTCTCTCTTTCTTCTGAAAATCCAAATTGCAAACAGGTTACTTGCTCAGTGAAGCACTGGATCTGTCAGAGTAAGGCATTTCTAATTTTCTAGCCTTCAGGGTAACAGTCAGTTTGGGGTGGGTGGGAGAGAGACTCTAGACATCTCTATTTCATCTCTAAATTTGTAAACTGCTCTGTGATCCTTGGATGAAAGGCAGGATAGAAATTTAATTAATAAATTAACAATAAATTCTCACCCATCATAGGCTCCACTGACTATCCTCTTGGTATCAAAGCGAATACATCTCACCAGCTCTTCGTGGCCTTCCAGAACTCGCAAACATGCCCCACATTCAATGTCCCATAACCTAGAAGACAAGGCAAACAATCATTATGCAATTGCCATAGAAAAATGTTTTGGAAATACAAATTGCAAATCGAACCTGCCTATTTATCCAGGAAGGGGAGAACTCTGAAGAATCTCCCAATTTCTTCCTAAATTCACATTTTGTATCTAGAAAATTACAAATTTCAATGTGAAACTCTACTGTTTTCATTTCCAATACTGTACATTTATGAGTAGTAGTGTTATTTCTGAATTACTGCCTGAATGTTATTTGGGCTACATAAGAGACAACAAATTATAGATAGCATGGAGATAGGGGTCCGTGTCAACTTGAAGACATAAGATTGCTTGTTACAGAAAAATGAAATCCTTCCTGTGACCTGGCTTTGCTATAGAAGAAAATCAGGTGGTTACCAGAAACGTATTTCCTTCACATTGCATCTGAAATATTAGCTTCTTAGAAAACACCTGCCACTTCTCAACACATCTTGGTAACCTCTGAAAACAGTTTACCAAAATGCACTAAATATGGGTATTTGTTAGGAGACTGTCATGACTGTTTAAAGTGCTATCATAGTGCCCTAAATGTATGGTATGAATGTGGCATAACTATTACACATGTGCCTCTCTACTGCTGTAACATCTAGCTTAACCCATAGGCAGCTGTTTTTTTCTTCTGATTAAACAGGAAATGCCTCAGTCAATTAAAGCATGTTTCACATTACACTGACAAAGTGGTTGCTAACAGAAGGTGAAAAATGTCCTTGCTTTTCTGTGTGGAAAGAGCACATGATATAGGCAAATTTAAACAGTGTCACCCCCTATCACCTCCAAAAGAAAACTGCACAATAATTTGTGAAGCCGTGCTGGGTCCTATGCTTGTTCATCCGAGTTACAATTAAATAGGAATGACAATATCACAATAGGTTTCCCACCTATTGGTTACAGTTGCTATTTGAAATAATCCTACTTCATTCCACAGTGTAAATGATGCTAAACCTTTTGTGATTACCCACTGACCAAATGGGAATTGCTGCACAGAACACAAAAGACAGTTTGTGCGCAGGTGGTTTACACTCTACACTGAAAACACAGGAGAGGAGGATGGGAGAAACAGCCACCCCAAGCCAGTTTTGAAAACTGATCTTTGGGAACTTGTTGGCCAACTGTGCACCTAACCTGCATTCTGCTGAGATATGTTGCCAACCACTGCAAAAATTCCAGCACAAGGATTTTATTCAGTGTAAGCATAAAAGTAATTGTATTCCCCTTTAAATTTATTACCATATTGACATTTATATTTGTTGGTTATTACTGTGTGTAGTATTTGTGGTTACTTTTCCAAGCTCTGCAGAGTTTAACTATTTCCTGTTTGGATTACTGTCGATGTTTGTGCCTTCCGAATTGTATGCTTTTTAGATTGTCTTTGATGTTGCTATTTCTTATGGAAGCGGTGGACAGTAGAGTGCTGGATCCAAGTTTAAACTCATTTAAACTCAATTTTTTCTCAAAACACGGTTTGTCTTATCTTTTGTTTAGCCATACCATGAAGGCACCCCCAACCCCCCCCCCCAATGTATGTGTGCCCTGGTTTTTCCCCTCAAGCAAAGCCATGGTGTTATTTGCAAATCTTTTGATCTTCTGTTGAGTGAAGGTGATAATTGGTTAATGGCTTCAACTGTCCCCTTACAATTCCCCATGTCTCTCATTTAAATTGTCTGCTGCAGTACCCTGACTTGTTTGTTTTCATTACTCATGTTATTGCAATTACCTTCAGTAACTAGCTTTCTCTAAAAGCTACACTAGTCAATTACCAGCCTCTTAAGTCCCTTAATGAAAGGAATTGTTTCTTTGTTTTGTATCTTTATTTGGACACACAGAGATTCCATACATTTGACCTTGGACCCGGAGAATTATGCACAACGGATGAGGAAAGATGATACCATTAATTTGAGTGAGCTCTGTTGGTCTGATTAAGAGGGATCCTTTACCCATTTTTTAATATCTGCACACTCCCTAAACTGTATAGCTTTAGGAGTATGGCAACTTATGTCTTGCTTGAATTGTTGTTGAGGACAATTTAAAAAGCAGATTGCCAATGCACTGTCCATGTGAGTCGGTGCTCAAACTGCTATGACCAAAGCTTTCGATTAAAAAAGAATGATTGGGCTGACACTTCATTTCTTGCAGGAAAGAAGAGCACATGAATGGAAGAAACCCTTTAAGCAAGTGCACAAATATTTGCATTGACAAGATGATTGAACCATGAAGCAGCTCATGGCTATAGAGGCAACTCATCACCATAGTTCACAAAAACAACAACTTGTATAGCTTTAAATGAGTAAGGATGAGGTCCATAGAAGAGTATAGGAAGGCAGTACTTCCTACTCAATTCTGACCAATCAATGGCTTTCAATGATATTATTATACTTTGCCCTCTAAAAACTGTCAAATTTCATCCAACGCAAAAATACATAGTTCATTGTATTATGGGATGGATCACTGCTTGGAACATTTCCAACCAAGGGACAGCAAGCAGACTCCATGAGTCCAGGCCACCTGTTACAAATGGTGCCTGAGGCTAAGCACCATGAGAAAAACTTGGTTGGCAAAACCCCAGCACTGTTTGGGGGTTGGATTAAAAACCTCTTGTTGCAAATCCAATTCTTCTAAGCAGAGACACAAACCATAAAGGGGAGCAGCCTTTATAACAGTCCATGCCAGTGCTTTCACATACTACATTTTGAGAAGTTAAACAATTATTACTGTTTGCTTTTAGCTCTTGCAGAATACAAAAATCTAAATAGAAGCTGGGTAAAAAAAGGAGAGAAATATTTATGCAAAATAAAACTATATGTAGTAATAAATGGATTATCTTTGCTCATTGAGGATATGGAAGCTTTAAACTCTGGAAAACTGAGGGAACGACAAAAGCTTTTCCTTCTTACAGAAGCATTTTAGAACACAAGTTTTATTCTGCTGTCAGGGCTGTGGCCATTTTAAGAATACACGGAATAGAGTGCAGACTTTTGATTTTTGAAAATTCTACAAAGCTGAGAAATTTCTGTTCCTGGTAGCTAAAGAGTAGAAGTTGAAAATGACAAAAAACCAAGACGGAAGTGTTGCCTCATGGTTACTTTCTCTTGAATCCAAAGCACTTCCCCAAATTTGTGCATTAGCCTCCTTTCTTGGTTCCTTATGACTGCTCTTTCTAAGATACCCTTGGCAAGACTTCAAATATTTAATTCAGCTGTATTATGTGAATTAAATAAATATATATTGAATTCATTTTGAACTCAGATTTTTGGTGGATCTTGACATTTCTAGGTATATGGCACCCCCTGCCTTTTTAAAACCTTATTTGGAACCAAAGAGGCCTGGTTTACATACACCACAGAGTAAAGTGGTATAATCCTGAAGGGCTAGTGTGAGCCACATCACTTCAAACCGCAGGTGAGCTATACCTGTCTTTAATGCTCCCTACATTTAACCAAAAATAATAACGAACCATCTTCCCCAATTTTATTTTATTTTTATTTTTTTAAAAAACCACAGGACAAAGGCACAGGAACAGGCCTCTACCTGCTATACTAGTTTGTTTGTTTTTAAAAGAAAAAAGCTTATTGTGTTTTGTATGCGGGGGAGAATTCAGAAGTGCAATCCTTCACCTGCAATCAGAAGCAGTACAATCTCAGTTTAATAAGTAGAGGGCACGTGGATGTGCATTACAATTGCATTACAATTGCATGCAACATTAGTCTAATACTGAATGCTTCTTTTTAAACGATAAGGTGCTGGAGCAGGGCCTTTGGAGTGGGAACAGACAAGAACATGTTTAAGTACACCTTCACCACTGCTTTGTCTCAAATTGGCATTTTGTGAAAAAATGGCCATTTGAGAAGACTGCAAACACTGATGTGTAATATATGGTTTGGCTCTGAGAGAGGCAGCATGCTGTTCAGGTAACTGCTGTGTTTCTTACCTGATTGTATTATCTGATGAACCACTCACTACTAGTCTGTCTCTGTACTGTAGACATGCAATACCTCGCTTGTGGCCATTCAAGGTACGCACAAACTCACAGGTACTTGTGTTCCAGACCTGTAAGAGAGACACAAGTACATATAGAAGGAAATAATGGACAGGGATGTTTATGAGAAAGTCATAGATTGTTGATGGGAGACAGTGTGGTGTGATGGTCTGAGTGTTGGATTAAAGACTAGGAGGCACTGGATCACATTCCCCCTCAGGCACAAAACTAAAAGGATGGCCTTTAGCCAGTCACTCACGCTCTCAGCCCAATCTACACTAACAGCATGATGATGAGAATCAAAGTGTGTGTGAAGAAGGGAACCATGCCCCCTGATGAAGGCAGTATAGGAAAGTAGAATAAATGTATTGCGAAAAAGAAATAAATAAAATAAATGCCCAATGACATAATGACTTCATGGTTTGCACCTTAATAGTTCTGTCCCCCGATGCTGATACAATGTATTTGTCATCGAAGTCGACCACATTGACGGCTGCCCTGTGTCCAACCAGTACCCTTCGTAGTGTGATGTCTGCAGGGGAGGCCATGTCCCACACGGCAATGGACCGATCTTTGGAGCATGTCACCATCATGCCATTATTAAAACGTAGGTGCAGTACTGCTTCACAATGATGGATCAGGGTGTTCAGCATCTCACCCGTATTTACATCCCACACTCTGGAATTTGTGGCAGAAGAGAGAAAAGTAGGGAAGGGGAGGAGAGAGATGTTTTAAGATTTTCCATTATTAAGCAGAAGGGGGAAATATGCCAAACATTCCTGTAAAAGATGTGCTAAATAAGTAAGTCTGTCTGCCTAATTTGGTAAATTCAAATAGTATTTCAATAAGAATCTAATTCTTCCTCCCAGCAACTTTGTGTGGTGGGACATTATTACATCCATTTTACAGATGGGGAACTGAAAATGAGAAAATGTGTAATTTGCTCAGTGTCACACTGTGAATCTTGGGCTTGGCTGCAATTTGAAGCAAAGTGTCCTCCTTTGGGTTTAGTCAACAGCACAGCTACAGAGTCCAACAAACAAAAGTTAACACTGTAATGTCCAAACAGAGTAAGAAAAAGCAAGAACCTCAAAACAAAAGGATTTAACAGGAAAGAAGATCTGAGGACTGAAATCTTCTGCTGCATGTGCTGAGTTTCTCTGCTTGTGGGCATAATGCAAGATCTAAACTAGTACAGAATTTAGTTTGCGGAGTGCTTCCACCTTTGTTTTAAAAATAATGTCTAAAAAGAACAAGGGCAAAATTTATCAAAAGGGAGCTCCTTCCTTAGCACATTTCACTCTTCTTAGCTTTCAAATAATCCATATTAACACACTCCAAATCAGCAAAGCCTCCAAAATAGATCATTTACTCCCAACACAGAATTACCACAGAACCAAATATGCTGCTCTGCTCTTTCTTATGACTGTTTTTTTTTTTAATTCTAGGCCGCAGGACTTGAACAATTCCTGAGCAATAAAAAATGTCACGTAGCATCCACAATTTGAAATATTCCTTTGGTCCTGCTAAAGCATAGTATAATATATTAATGGCTGGCATTAAGGAATTTAAAATATTCCTGCTAAACGAAAAACAGTTTAATTGGATATTTCATGCAAGCAGAATCTGTATGCTCAAGAAATCGTGCTGACAGCTATCTTTTCCCCAAGGACAGGTGTGTGTGGGTGGGTGGGTGGATAACCCTGGAATCAAGGGTTTAAATTGTTGACTCTGAAGGCTATTTTTACAAAAACTTATAGAAACAGCCTTCCATTCCTTGTGCATGCCTTTCACTGTCACTGTTTTGAGGGCAGAATTTGAATAGGGCTTGTGGAGCAAAATCCATCTTTCTTGCTTGCAACCTCTTGAGCATTAGGAGTAGCATGGTAGCCAAGACACTCATCATACAACCCCCCAATCTCAATATAATTTATTCCAAACTACGGTTTGACACTGCATGCAAACTGTTAACTTTTAGGCTTAATTTTCAAAAGCTTTTATCTGGTTGGTTAACTGCTTTCTGTTTAATTTTTTTGCTTATTGACTGTTGGCCCTATTCTCTGCCTTTTATATATTTTTTCACTAAAATGGATTGTTTTAATTATGGGGTAAAGTGCCTTGGAGGCCTGTATTTGTTAGAAAGGCAGGATATAAACATTCTCAATAAATAAATAGCTACCTGACAGTGGAATCCGATGATCCAGTGATGATCACCCGCTCATCGTACTGGAGGCAAAGGACTGACCCCGTGTGTCCAGTCAGAACCCTCTTGCATTCTAGCGTATTCTTGTCCCAAATCTAGGAAGGCAAAAAGGGCGCACATTTGGGATTTCACCACAAGGTAAACAGATTGTATTGCTGGACTGGCTCTTTTGTTTTTCTGTAACGCAGCATTTTATTTACTAAGGCGAGCAGAACTTCTTCTAAGTGGCACACAGTGCACTTTGTATTCCACAGGCACTTTGGAGCAATATAAACTATCCTTAATATCTCTGTTTTTAATATGAACATAGTCTTTACCCTTCTCATTAGGGAACAGGAAGACTTTAATTACTGAAGGACCAATAACGTGGCTAGCACTGAACAGAATGCAAGAAAATGAAACAGATAATATAGATTTATCCTCCTTGTTTGGAAGAAAGGGAGGAAAACCAATGCAATTCATAGTCAGACTTGATGGGGGGCACGAGGGGGAGGGAAAGGAAGACAAGGATTAACCTCATCCTTCTCAGTTTCTCTCTTGCATTAGTCCTCCTAAATGAAGTTACACCTGCATTCTTCTGGGGAATGGATTTTGTGTTCAATCATTGCCCACTGGGGAGCTCTCACCTTGATGGTATTGTCTCGGAGGCCACTTACTATCTTCTGATCATCATATTGTAAACAATAAACCCCTTTGCTTGTTTCACTTCGGCAGTGGATTCGCTGTAAGCTGTGCCTTCCACACCGCCAGTTTGATTCTATTGTCTGGGGGAGAGAGAAACAATTATAAAGTGGGAACAAACATCATGGAAATTTTGCACCAATAAAGCCTGCTGGACTCCTGGGACAACAGAAGCAGCTCTGATGCTGAAATCATTTATCATTAGATAGTCCCAGAGCAAAGGGACAAGTCACTTTCCCAATCCCTAGCTTCCATAAAGTTTCAAATCCCTCTAAGATGATTCTAGTTATTACAATGAAAGCAAATGCACCAGATATCTAGAATATAGCTGAAATTAGTGGGCTAATTAGTTCCATTCATTTCAGTGTGTCTACTCTGAGTAGGGCTAACATTGGATACAACCCGGGATGTTCATTTCCCCTTGTGTTGACTGTCCATTAGGTAGGTTTTCCCCCTTCCCCCACACTGTTGGCTCCACAGGTATCTGTCCCTTCAGTGATCTTCAAGAATGCGGAACTGGCCGCAATTCTCTTCTTTTCTTTGGAACAGCTTCTCCAGAATTAAGGTCAACAGTGGGAACTGTAAAAAATGCAGGTTGCCTTGATTTGGTCTCAGTGACGGAGAAGCTCAAACAGTTGTTTGAGTCGGTAAGATTTACTGTGATGAACTTTGTACATCCCTTGATCACAAATGTGACACTGCGAGATGCTTCTTCAACGGAAAGGTTGCCAAATTTAATTCAGTGTAATCATGGAAGTTGAACTGAAATGGTATAATACACTGGGATTTAATTGTAGTAAGATGGTATAATCAAAGTGCCTGAACATTCAACTCCCTTCAAAGAAGGGGAGACCAAATATCAATGGATCTGGTACATACTGTCTTAAAGACAGACTACTAAATTGTTTTTTTAATAACAGGACTCAGAGGGAAAATGTGTACAAATATGTACACACTATCACTTCGGCTTTTCTTTCATTCTACAGTAGATGCCGTAGGAAGCTATAACTGGCTGGCATCTGTGCAGGAAATTTGAATTGTTTCACACACAACAAAGGAGCTCTAATGAGGGTTTTACATACAATTGCATAGCCTTTTTTCTGGCTCTTACCTCTATATCCTGTATAATTTTGGGATAAAGTGCTCTGTAGAAGGAGTTGGGAGGGGCTATCCCATCGGGCGGCTTGTTCTTAAAAAGATACTGTCCCCTAAAAGAAAAGAAGGAAGAAAGAAAAGCAGCATTGCTCATTTAGCCATGGCTATTTCATTCAAGAGGCCGGGGACGCGGGTGGCGCTGTGGGTAAAAGCCTCAGCGCCTAGGGCTTGCCGATCGAAAGGTCGGCGGTTCGAATCCCCGCGGCGGGGTGCGCTCCCGTTGTTCGGTCCCAGCGCCTGCCAACCTAGCAGTTCGAAATCACCCCCGGGTGCAAGTAGATAAATAGGGACCGCTTACTAGCGGGAAGGTAAACGGCGTTTCCGTGTGCGGCTCTGGCTCGCCAGATGCGGCTTTGTCACGCTGGCCACGTGACCCAGAAGTGTCTCCGGACAGCGCTGGCCCCCGGCCTCTTGAGTGAGATGGGCGCACAACCCTAGAGTCTGGCAAGACTGGCCCGTACGGGCAGGGGTACCTTTACCTTTACCTTATTTCATTCAAGGATTTGCAAGAGACTTGTAGAGCTCTTATGTTTGGTAGATGAAAAGGGATGACTAGACCAGATTTAAAAGGGATGCTGTAGGGTCCGCATCATAATACTACTGCCTTTAGACACATGGCAATTCATAAAATAGTAGGCATCTAAATAAATATATGGCCCTTTTGTAAGTAAAGGTGGATAGATAAAAGGGTCCTTTAAAGGAGAGTGACATGTTCCCCATTTCTAATTGCTCCAAAACAAAAAGAAATTAAGCAATTCGTAGTATCAGCAATAGCATTTTACTGCTCCTCTAATCTTCTGAGTAAACTGCATTGGCTTCTTCCTCAACTTAGCCTGGTCATGGAATGCACATTTTTGCCAGAGAAAGGGAGGGAAACCCAGTGAACGGCAATCACTTCATGCTGTGTAAATTTTTTAAAATTCCTCATCCTAAAGTTAAGGAGCCACCTAACACTGTGCGGAAGCTAGTAAACCCCACCATGGGCATACTAACAACTCTTCTGCCTGGCAACATTCCTTGTGAAGCAGAAATGGGCACAAATCCTCCGAGTATAATCCTGGCACGTGAGGCATGGCATTTAGCCTAGGCCAGCTCTCTGCTCCCCCTTTCACTGTTGCATTATTTCCGACAGGTTTTTTCCTATGCATTCCTTCCTTGCCACAAATCTGAAAATATACACTGAGAAGTTTCCTTTTGCGTGAGATGCCCTGGGCACGTGCTAGGTAAGCCCTGCTTCGGAAGAGTGATTTGAATCAACAAAATGACTAATAAAAATACTGAGCAGTGGGGGAAATACATCCGATTTCAAACACACATTTCTGGAAAAACTAAGCTCTAACAAATCTCCCACGTTTTAAAATATGGCAGGTATAATGCTTTGCCTACAAGAATGTCAAGCTTTGCAAACTTTCCCTAGTTGTGTGTGTAGCTCAGCAACACCTAATAAGTAAGCAATGGTACCCTCTGCAAACTAGCAGATTTGTGTCCCTAATGAGAAAAAGAACCCCAATGCTGAACTGTTAGCCAAGAAGGTATCAGAAGCTACTCATTCCCCACTTTCTATCTTATGCGTATGCATCATTCATCTCCCTGGAAGAGAAGTCCATGCAGGCATCTTGAAGATGTTGGAAGCAGCACATTCGCATTACTGCCTAGACATTTTGTCAGTGTGCTGTTTGACATGTTAACTATGACCCACCAAGATCTCCACAATCAGAAGTCAGTTTTGCTCACTACAGATTCTGAAGCGGCAAAAGTAATGTCTGTGCCTTGCTTGTTGTTAATTCTGCCATGGGAAAGTAATCTGGGTACCTCTAGAAATCAATACTAAATACAAAACTGTATTTTAGGTATTTTTTGAAGCGCTGAAAGCATTACACAAACATTTTTTCTGCCCTCATAATCTATTAAACTGTAACATATTTCTAGTGCCAAAGCCCTTAATAGAATTTGCACTTGGCAAGTTTCTGGCCTTATTTTTAATTTTTGTTTAATAGCAGCTAAAATGCCTTAGCTGTCACCTTTGTCTTGTTTATGAAATATTCATACCCATTTACTCACAGACAACATACGAGGGAGGCTCCTTGGATAGAAAATTATGTATTAAGGGGATTACCCAAGAGAGCGAAGCATCTAATGAAATGTTAACAGAGCAGCTCTAGACTTGGGGAAAGTCTTGCATAATAGAAAAAACTATTCCGTCTGATTAACTAATCTATCTGAATTTCTGCATGCTTGCCCTCAGTGGTTTGTACTCTTGGCTTTATGGCTAAAGATAAAACAGGTCTCTAATTGTGAAAATCTGCTGAGGAAAACAAAAGTGACCTAACACATTCATAACATGTAAAATGCACCTACTTTAGTTGTACAGCGAGTACATAAACTTCTGAAAGTCTAATGAATTAATATATCAAAGACTGCTCTAAGTAATGGGAGGGAAGGATACTGTATGTTACACAGACTTCCGTTGCTTGTTCACCCACCCAAAAGAAGGGCCATCACTGGTGGAGGGTGGAGGTGAAACAGAGTGACCACCCCAGACTCTGGACTTGGCTGATGGTCCACATCTGGCACTGGCAGCTACAACTGGCAGCCCTGCTACCTCCCACCCAGCGAGGCTTTGCACCTCTTCCCTTCATACAGCAAGGCAGGGAGAGAGGAAATGGGGTTGGAGGGCCTTTCCAGCACATCTGCTGCTAAACCAGCATCAAAAGAAAAAATGTAAGCCTGTGTGTGTGTGTAGCGAGAGAGAGACTAAAGTTGTTGCAAATCACCTGACAGTAAAGAAAAAAGATTGACTTCTATTATCAGATGGCTCTGCAGTTTGTTTTGACTTTACATTTCAACCTCTGATGAAGGCCTAACATTGATATATGCCGAAAGGCATTGGGTTTATTGACTGATTAAGTGATTATATTCATATCCCATCTTTTTCTCCAAGGATCTAAAGGTGGCATACATAGTTCTGCTGCTCCTCACTTAATCCCCACAACAACCTTGAAAGGTAGGTTAAGGTTAGAGGCAGTGACTGGCCCAAGGTCACCCAGTGAGCCCGATGGCTAAGTGGGGCTTTGAATGCTTGTCTCTCTGGTCCTATCCTGACACTAATCACTACCCCATAGTCGCTCTAAAAACTCCATACAGCATCTAGGGATTTTTCTCCTTCCTTTTTTGGCAAAGGAAAAACAATTTTCATGGGGGAGAGGAGGGGCTGCCACTACAACTACCGCCATTGCCATGAAGAGAAGGAGGAGCAGCAGAATATATATATTCCGGATATATGAGAGGACTTATCCCCTGTTCCTAAACTTGGCCAGTCATCTCTGGAGGTAGAACTAAATTACTGGATTCTGCTTCCGGATCAAGGGGAAGTGCCTACCTGCCCCAAGTTAGGAAATAATACATACTCCCAAAAAACAGCCTCAGAAAAAAAATGAAGACTGGTAGAATTTAAAAGGCAATCTTCAATTTTCAGATAAAATGAACTGTCATACTCATGACCTAAAGCTGTTTTCAATTTACTTGTTTTGCTAGGCTAAGTCAGTGCAAGGATTCCTGTTAGCACAATGGGACCTTTCCCATGCCATCCCCAAATCTGTTCTGGAGAGTCTGGAGAACCCACAGAACAGCAGGTGATGGGAGGCGATGGAAGATCGTTCCATCAGAGAAGTAGAAATTCTTGCACTGATGGAATGATCTCCTTAGCATTCCGTTGAATACAGCCCCATACCATTTAAAAACCATACCACTGTAAGTCGTAAATTACCAGCACCTACTCCCTCACTCAGCAAGGGAAAAGATGCATGAAAGATGCTCTCACCATCCTCTCCGCTCTGCCAAACCCCTCCACAGCGAGTCTGTCCGGACCATTCTCTCAATCAGCTTCTTCCACAGCATGCCGTCAGATGTCACTCGGTACCATTCCTTGCACACCAGCTCAACAGCACACAAAGACTTGGCATCCAGGTACGACAGGATATTCTCAGCGATGTGATCCAGGCCGCGAGCTGGAAGAAAAAAAGTATAGGCAATTAATCAGCACTGGAGAGTTCACGAGAAGCCCATCTCTGCTCAGACATTTTCACCCCCACTGTTGCTCATTCCCTTCCCTGTAATGCAGAGCTGGGATGATTGGGCAGAAAATAGTCTCCTGTGAAGTTCTGAAACCAGCAGCTTCTTATGGATAAGAAACAGCAAAGCATTAAAGATAAAAGTGGAAAGCGTTAGAGATGATCAAGAATCCTGGAAGTCATTTCCAATCTATTTCTATGAGTTTTAGCACTAGGGGGATGTTCAGTGGAAGGCTTTTCTCACTTGATGATGCACCCCCCCAAATCTTGCTATATTAGGACCATTTCTCATTTTGCTACTACAGCTGTTCTTGTATTCCACCAGCTCAGAAAGCTACTTTTTGATGCAAAGAAGAAAGGAATAAAAGGTCCAATCACTTACAAAAAGGGGTGTGGTGGTGAAGCTTTTAATGTTTGATGGACTACTGTATTTTAATATTTTGTTGGAAGCCACCCAGAGTGGCTGGGGAAATAAATAGTAGTAGTACAGTAGTAGTAATAATAATAATAATAATTACTACTACTACAGGACTAGAAAGTTTTAGGAACACTGGGAGTTGCCATATACATAATTGGATCCATCTAATTCAGTATTGTCTACAACTCACAGTGGAGGGGAGAGAAGAATCTTACCTGGGAGATACCAGGAACTGAACTTGGCACCTTTTGTATGCAACCCATGTGCTCTATCACTGAGCTACAATCCTTCTGCCATGCGTTGGAAAGTATTGGATTCTTAAGGCTTATATTATAACTGAACCAAGAACTTAGAAGTGCTCCCACATTACAAATGCTTTTCATATATGCTAGTTCATATCATAGAGCTAGCACAGAGACGACCTAAAAAATACATGCACATAGACCAAAGTGCTCTTGTGGGATCTTGAGGAAGAGACTCTCGCTCTCAAACTGGAGAGATGCTTCTGTCTAAAGTCATGAGGGATCATCAGTGGGAATTGTGGGTAAACCATGACTTCTTATGGCATCTAGTGAATACGAGCTACTGGGTTTTTTGAGTGGATAGATTAATGTTCAATTTGCAAGGCTACTTTAGTTCCTTGATCAAATCCGCCCCCATCCCCAGTTTCACTTGGGAAAGAGTCAAGCATGCCAGATTAGCATAGCAGGCAACTTTTCTCTCCAAATAAAAAGCTACCAAACATCCAGAGAGAGATCAAATGCTTCATTTCCTGCTCTTGTTACAGCTGCCCCAAAGACTGAGCTTCATTTGTCAACAACAGAGGCTGAGCGTAGGAAGCCATGAATGCATTTTGGGATGGCTGGGGTCACATGTCTTACATTTAAGCAGACGATGCAGAGTGAGATGCCTATCAGATGATTCTGATCAGGATTTACAGAGGACACGCTGTACCAAGACTTTGCTGCTGACAAGCAGAAGACCTCATAATGAGCTTCTCATGTATCAAAGTAGTTTTTCCTCCCTCCATATTCTCAGGACAAATTCATGAAAAGTAATTTTATAAAGAAATGTGATTTCTAAGAGACAACTCTTTCAACCCCGACACTCCTAGATGTGGGGACAGAGTTTTCCTAAAATGAAAAATAAACCAAGCAGCATAATTCAACTTGACAGACAAGACAAGCTTCAGCAAGTAAAAGAAATACGCAACAGACCAAACAAAACTTTGCTGTTACCACCTTTTCCAAAGGAGTGGGGTGCTGTCCCTTATTTCTGCTACATCTCGAATGCAGCACAATGTTAGGAGAGAATCTGCTCCTTTTTTCAGTTCTGAGTTTGGAGCTGGGGAGGGGCAGAAAGTAAGCTCCTGCTTGCCCACAGCTCATTGTTAGGAAAGAAGCTTGCTTTCCAGTGTGTTCCTTGGGCGCTAAAAGCTCAGAGCGCATTCAGGCACAGAGACAAGGTGATAGGCCTCCACCTTCCCACTTCATCTGACAGCTGAAGGCAGAGGCATCCTGACTTGATCTGCCTCTGTGTCCAACAGTGGCTCCAAGTTTGGAACACCCCTTGGGCGCAGAGATAAGCCCATAAGCTTCTGCCTCCAATATCCACCTCCAACCTGAAAATGGGAGGTGAAGGCACATCAGTTTGCTTCTCCATGTTAGTCCCAAGTTTGGGCTCACCACGGCTCAATGTTCCATTTGCCACAGTGAGGCAGTGATAGATACAGATTATTTCTCCAACACCAAAAGCTATTGAAGAATATACTTAAATATAAACGGGGATGTTAAGGCTTTAGATTTTCATCATTCACTATGCTAAAGCTAAATAAATTGGGCAAAATTCCAGGCAAAAAAGAAGAAATGCCAAAACTTTACCTATTAGCATATGTGGCAGGTACAGTGTGACTGATAGAACATGACAACCACCACCTTCTATAGAGCATCTTTTTTTTACACCACAATTTAGGGTGGGAAGAACCCCTTCTAGATGGCAAGGAGGACTTCTGTTTTACTTCCCTCACCCAGGAGCTTATAGACCAGGGGTTGTCAACCTGGTCCCTACTGCCCACTAGTGGGCGTTTCAAGATTCTAGGTGGGTGGTAGGGGGTTCTACGGCACAAGCGGAATCCTCCTTCTACCGAGCACTGGTCATCAAGTGAAAGATGCATTACTGGGCAGTAGGTATAAAAAAGATTGACTACCCCTGTTCTAGACTGAACTGAACATGTTGCATAGGAAATAATATGCTGTATAGAAATTACATGAACTTGATGACCCCCACCCCAGGACCCTGCTAATTTCTATGATCATAAAGTCCAAATCCTGTTAACTGTTATGCGCCCCCAGTAAAGGAAAGGCAACTAACCAAACATCACAAGTGCACCTAGGGGGGAAAAACCATGACAGCATACATTTTATGATAGGTGACATATCCTCAAATGGCAACTCCTTTCTAGGACTCCAGGGACAGAACACCCTACTACTGAAGAAGGCCATTCGAGAGATATGAGAAGTCAAGGTCTTTTTACACATTTTTGAAGCCTGCAAAGTCTGTGTGTTTGCCAATAGTTTTTCAGACTACCTGGTAGTGCCGTGATGAAGTCTCTCTGTAACATAGGTTTGAGGTATGAGTTGATGTGCCCGTGCTGATAATGACACATCTGGGAGATGAGATGTTCCACAAATTCCACTTGGTCGGACTCTGACCACTGCTCAAAATACTTGATACAGAGCTCCTTCTCCTTTTCATAGCTTGCAGATAGCTTCCTTTGCTTTGGCACAATCATGCTTGAAGTGCCATTGGCAAGTTTTGTCTATGGAAGAAAAGAAGAAAATGTACAACACTGAATTTTTCAGGGCAGAGAATTTGACATCCTTAGAAGACAATACATTACACATAAACCTACCCATGTGATGGAACAAACAAATCCATCCAGCTCCTAATTACATGTTATACAGTCTAAGCTTCTGCAAGTTTCCAGCCACTTTAGTGCACTAATACATGCCTGTCTGATGCTTCACATCTAAAACCTTTTTAAAAAGTCCATTCTGGACTGCTACTAAAATTGTGAAAAAATATTTAAGATACAAAAGAGGGGGGGGATTCCCCAATGCTGCTGTTCAGCATCATGCAGAGTATGAAACAAATATGTCTTATTCAAAGACTATGAACATACAGTAGTGAAACTTTAAAAATAACATTTTATAAAACTATGTGTTTTGACTTTCTGGTTTTATAGTGTTAGATACTCACCATGAAACCGGCTCCTCAAAGACAAATTTCAGGGACGGATAAAAAGTATGAACCTCTTCTATGATAGTTTTAAGGAGGAGGGCCAATTCAAATGTTTTGTTAACAAATTTAACTAGATTTAAGTAACAGTATCTTGCTGCTATGGAGGACATCCTATGATGTCCCATGTTATTCCAACACTACCAAACTAAAGGTCCTTTAGCATATGTTGTCTCAGACATTTCCTTCCAATAGACTGAAACACATCTAGGGAGGACAAGTGTGCATGTCTTGAAGACTTCCAAGAAGTTAAGGCCATCAGAAGTTTAGATAGTGCACATTTGTTATTAGACATAATTGTAATACACCATTAAAGAATAGTGCAGGGACTTGCTACAGACTGTTATGCATGGTGATAAAAAGAAATAACCCAATAGTCCAATCTTGATCTTGTAATACAGAAAGACTTGCACCCTGACAACTAGAAGCCTCACCCTTATGTCCAAATGTCAGTCTTCTGGAAATACCGTATTTTTCGCCCCATAGGGCGCACCTAGGTTTTTTTTGGGGGGAAATAAAGGGGGGGGAAATCCCCCCCAGCCCCCAGAACAGGCTGCTATCCGCAAGCCTTGGGAGCCCAGCGGGAACTCCCGCCGGTCTCCCCAGGCTTGCGGATATCTGCCCGAAGCCCGGGGCGCGATCCGCTGTGCTCCCCGGGTTTCGAGCTGCAGGCTGCTGTCTGCAAGCCTTGGGAGCCCGGCGGGAACTCCCGCGGGCTCCCAAGGCTTACGGTTAGCTTCCTGAAGCCTGCATTCGCCCCATAGGACACACACACATTTCCCCTTCATTTTTGGAGGGGAAAAAGTGCGTCCTATAGGGCAATACGGTACTTCTTGTTTTTCTAATATATGGTACTATATGAAAATAAAGGATGGGGGGGTTGTTGTTTTTTTTGAAGATTGAGGGTTAGAATGAAAATAGATCTTACATATTTTTTCATATACCACTAGGATCCGTATGCTACACAGACAGATTCTACACCATGCAGAACAATCATACCTATGATTGATTGCTAATGCTCCTTCAGCAATTGACCGACAAGCAAAATATTTGGTTGGCAAACCAAGAAACATCATAAACAAAATTGGATTCTCGCTCTCTATTGAGGCCTCAACAGTCTTTATGGAAATGATAAAACATAGCTCCTTGGTGTAGAAGTGCTGGGTTTCTCCATGCACAAATGTTGTTGGCGATAGCCTAGCATTAAAGCATGAAGGTTGGACTCTATTGAACACTGGCCTGGAGGGATTCTGTGGCTGTTTTCACAGCAGTTCAGTTGTTTGCAGAACGAGAAAACCAATGAAACGCTGGATTAAGATTTAGATAGTTGATAAATGGTGTATTTTATAAGCCTGACCTCATTTCATTTCCCATTTCATTTGCTGCACAGCCAATCTTACAGCAGGCTGTCTTCATCCAGCATGTTTTTAAAATCATTACCTTCTGCCTTTTTACCTACTCCCTTCTCAGAAAAACATTGTCTTTGAATTTTGAACACAAGTGAGCCAAATCACCAATCTGCATAAGCAGCAATGTTACAAGTCAGGATGCAAGGGTGACCTCTGAGGACCAGTCTATACCATCAAACATCCTGAGATGATAACCCCCAAATTCCCTGAATCTCTAAACTGTTTCCATGATGAAGTGCTCAACAAAATACTAATGTGCTGGGTATCTACAACGCTGGCAACTATTTTACATAGATTTAAAATATATAGTTATAAAAATAGAGATAGCTCAAATGAAGTTATCCCAACATCTTTCATTATTGGCCATGGTGGCTGGGGAAGATGGGATTTATAATTCAACAACATCTGATGGATACCACGTTGGCTACCCCAGCCTTAAATTACTGGAAATCATAGGAATCCAGCATGTTTTAGATGATATATTTCCTTCCCATGTGTACAAGGTGGACTAAATATGAAGACAATTTTGTTTCATCAGAACAATCTGTGGATTTCTTGTGCATTCCATCTGAATGCACTGATCTATTTTTAACCAAATAGAGAAAGGGACTGGCTTTGACTGTCTTGAGGGTGGTGGTTGGAGACATTCTATATAATTTGTCAGAATATCAACTAGTTGCTATTCTTCCCTCTTTAGATGATATATCTTAACAGATGGTAGCAAATTCCTGGATTATCTAGACCCATTTTGGATTTGGATCTTGACCCAGTTTGGGAACTGAAACTGCCTTCTTCACCTGGTTTGACCACCACAGTCAGAAGACAGGGGAGTGTGACCCTTTTGATTCTCCTGGACCTCTCAGTGGCTTTCAAATACTATTTATTTAAGCAGTTACTTTGAATAGTTTGTCCTATCCTAGCATGTCTCAGTGATCCCATGAAGGCCAGGTCAAAGCAGTGGCACTTACTGGAAAGGTCAGCTCTTCATGTCTAGAAGAGCGGAGTCACAACTGGTGGTGCAAGCCTAGTCTGAGAGAGCACTATCAAGACGGCTATGCATGAGCACAACAGACAAGACAAAACACCATCTGCACAAATCAGTGGCAGGATGTGGCTGGAACTCACCCAAGGAGTGCGCCTTGTCTCAGCAACAACCTGAGGTCTCCTGGTGGGACTGAACCTGTCTTTAACCCTGCTCTCCCCGAGGCGATTTCTTTTTCTAAAGGAACCACTGCCCAGTTCTGTGACTGCTGGCTCCTACTGGACAGTGAGAGCTGCAATGGAGGTGTGCTCTCCGATGTCTGGAAGGTCCTGAAGCAAAGGACACCAGCTCTTTGAGTGACGTCTCCTCCCCTCAAGTTTTCGTCTGAGCCAGAAGGAGAATTGTTTGAGTTTGGCTCATAGGCTGCTGGAATGGTTTTGCATTTCTGTTGAGTTGTCTGGACTGTTTTTAGGATTTATACAATGTTTAAGCACCTTACAATTTTGGTTGGTTGGGATAGGCGAGAAATTCACAAGGCACTTTTACTCATCCCTACCTCTTTTGGTACGCAGGACGCGGGTGGCGCTGTGGGTTAAACCACAGAGCCTAGGACTTGCCGATCAGATCGTCAGCGGTTCGAATCCCCATGACGGGTGAGCTCCCGTTGTTCGGTCCCTGCTCCTGCCAACCTAGCAGTTCCAAAGCATGTCAAAGTGCAAGTAGATAAATAGGTACCGCTCCGGCGGGAAGGTAAACGGCATTTCCATGCATTGCTCTGGTTCGCCAGAAGCAGCTTAGTCATGCTGGCCACATGACCCGGAAACTGTACGCCGGCTCCCTCGGCCAATAAAGCAAGATGAGCGCTGCAACCCCAGAGTCGGCCACGACTGGACCTAATGGTCAGGGGTCCCTTTACCTTTACCTCTTTTGCAATGGTGGGCTCCTTCCAGAAGGCAATGCTTTCTTTCCCCCAGCATAAGCAAGTAAGCAAACAGCAGCATAGGAACACAAGCAGCTGCTTTAATACTGAGTCAGGCCATTCATGCATCTAGATCAATACTGCCTACACTGACTCCAGGTTCTTCTACCACTGAGTTATGGCCCTTCTCCACAGTCCCACAGGAAATTGTAGTGCTGTTACTTCTAACATGCAGTTCCACAGAACTTGTGAATAAGCCAAAACAAAACAGTCAGCACGGGTTCACTAGTGAAAATCATGATATGCCTTGCATGTGTAAGGATTATCAGTGTGGCAATATCTGAGCCTTGTTAACAAAATTCCTTTGAGTATATATTTCCTTCACCCATAGACACCCCCCCCCATTTTCTGTCCCAGCGCTTCTCTTGCTCCTCCTTCCTCACTCCAATGTGCAGTTTCCTTCTTTGACTTCAAATCAAACTCACCAATTGAATTGTAGCATACTCTGCTGCACAGTACTGAGAATGAGGTGATGGAAGGAAATAATAATTATATAGGAGGGAATGTATGTGTGAGTATGCATGCCGGAGGAGGGCAGTCTGGAACTGAAAATATCCCATTTGGTTCCAGGCTGTTCAGTTTGTGGCTTTGGGCAAGTCATTTCAACCCTCTCTGACTTAGTTTATGGAAGGTGCTATGTAATTTCTAGGCAGTATAACCCTTTATGACTACAAAAAAACATCCCTACTCCTATACATATAAACTTCATTGCATGTCCTTTAATCTCCACAAAGCTGTAAAAGCACAGCTCCCCTCCCCCCCGTTCTAAAGCATTCAATTAAAATATTTTGAAGCATCTGTTGAAGTCTAGTAAAACAACAAAAACCTAGAATCAAGTAGTGATTTCTTAGATGACTAGCAATCTCAAAATCCTGACAAAACTATTCCGTATTCCGCTAGGAGAAAATAACTCCTGCAATATTGGGTATACTGAACACCTGCATCCTCACTAAAGAAAGAAGAGGGAAGCTTGATTGTCAGGTCCAAACTATATGTGATACTGGCAAATTCATGATTGTAAAAGCAGGTCTGCCCATTCACATAGAAAATGAGATTATGCTCCTGTTTAGGGAAATTTTTAATGTTTGATGTTTTATCGTGCTTTTAATATTCTGTTGGGAGCCACCCAGAGTGACTGGGGAAACCCAGCC